ACGATCAAGTACCAATTCCCGAAGAAAAAGAAGTGGCACATGGAGAAGCACGTGATATCGTGATGGAAAGATGGAAAATTTGGCCGAGCTCTTGTGGGAAATTAGAAGATCATCCTATAACTCGAGAGTGCTCGAGATCAAGGTCGTCAACTTATATCACACAGCTGTATAAAACACTCTATTTGCCATCAACAACGAAAAACGGGTTCTCAAATAAATTTCGTCGAAAATTTTCTTTCAAGAAAAAAGTATCGTTTTGAAGAACAGATTTTCTCGATCAGAAATTGCGGAAATCGCTTGATCCGCCGCGTGTTCTTCAGACAAGCCATTTTCCGGAATTGAAAATTGCGCGAAATTCAAAACCGCTTGGCCGGCTCCGAAGACCCCCGCTGAGCTGAAAATGATCCGCGCTCTGATCCGCGCGATCTTTTACTTTTTTACTTTTTGGAAAGTAGTTCAAAGCGGCCGCCGCCCAGCGCCTTGTTTGATACAAAAGATGATTGCAAGAAAAAGTAAGATGGATTTTTTGCTGGAATCAGATGAGTCCGATTCTTTTTTGATTGATTTTCTTTGCTTGGAAATTGCTTTTCTCGCGCCAGAAGGTGATATTTGAGGAAATAATTCTTGTATTTTCCGTTAATTAATTTTCCAATAATTTGGTCAAATAACTTGAAGCGGTTAAACTTGAAAAAGGTCGAAAATCTCAACTTCGAAACCCAGGTCAACTTTTGCTTTTTGTCGAAAAGGATGGTTATTTTGCTTGAAAAGTGAGTTGGTTATTTGCAAACACCTGAGCACCGATGGTGAAAATCGATATTTTTACGTCCGAGGCCTATTTATGAGCTGTGGAAGAATCGTCCGTTGTTTGTGTTCTTGCCGCTCCCTGAGAAAACAAAGGATTAACTTTTAGTGCTGTTAACGGAAGCGCGTTTTCAATTTTCCCGACCGATGGGAAGTCGAAAGAGTCAGCTGAGGCAGTAAATTTTAGACCCGCGGGATGATAGGAACGCGAAGGTCAGTCTGATTCTCCTTTTTAAAGGGTGTCTCCTTAACAGGAAAGTCTTCTTTTTTTCATCTAGAATTTGAATTTCTTTATAAAAGAGCTTAAAAATGGTCAATTAGAGCTGATCTCCTTATATTAGCACTGACGCCCTTAAGAAATCTTTTATCTTAAGGGTGTATGAGATGATTCGACTCGAAATTCAATAAGCTTTCTTTTGGTGCAAAACTTTAAGGGTCTCCTAAATGATTTTAAGAAGCTACGGTCGCCTGAAATCTCCTGTTTTTGAGAAAATTGGCCGGTGAAATAGGTCAACCCCATTCAGAAAAAGTCCGCCTTGGCTCTTCAAGGGATTTTTGACATTTGCTTTTGTAACTTTCGAATAAAGTAAAGCTCAAGTTCTCGCTTTGATCTTGCTCGGCGTTTTCTGTTGAAGTTGGATTATGCTTTTTTTCACCAGACCCATTTTTGCCAATTTGGATCGGGCTGTGTTTGGGCACGCGCTTGATCAGTGTGACGGCTTGACGGAAAAGTGGACAATAGAACAGGGAGACCCTTAATGACTTGGAAAGTGGGTCGAAATTCTGGTACTTTCTTTTGATGCAAAAATTTGGCGTTATTGAAAAAATAATGAATTGATTTTTGCAATTTGCGGAGAAAATCCCTTTCCTTAAAAATGGTAAGCTTTGGGCACACAGGTAGCTGTCCAAAATCACGCCCGGAAATGTCCGGGGCAAATTTAAACTGGCCTTAGGCGAGTTATTCCGCGCTAATTCCTGCACATACGGAATTTTCTCGGAGCTAATTGTTCATCGATTTATTTTTAGATTTTGAAAATTTCTGAAATGAAAAAATTTTTGGGACAGAAAATTTTAGATGGGATTAGCGGACGAGCAAATGGTGGAGGAGGAGGATTAGCGCGGATGAAGTCGCCAGGCGCATTGATTTTCTAGAAAAGCGCAACGGGAGTCGACAATCCTCTTCAGAATGTCACATCTCCCGCCGCGCTCTCAAGAAATTCAGGCTCAGAAAGGAAATTACTATAAATCTGGCTAAAGCTGCTTCAAGAAAAAAAAAGTTCAGTTACTGTTTCTTTTTTAATTATTGGGGATCTCCGTTTCGTTTCAATAGCGAATATGCGGGATTTCAGCCAATCAGAAGCGAGATTTCTCTCTGTCTGCCAATAAAAAACCAAACCCCTGAAAAACCTCAGAGAGAGCTTCTTGAGTAGGGGATTTTTTGATTGGCGGAGACGAAAAATTCTTGCTTCTGATTGGCTGAAATCCCCAATAATCATCATAGAAACAGATCTGTCTTATCTTCGTCAGTTTTTTCTTCTTCAAGCGTTTTCTTCCAGCGTCGTAAATCGACCTGTTGAATTTAATCTGCATTTTGGCATCCGGGACCACCATCGAGGAATTCGCGCCTTGCAGCTGATCATTTCGTTTTTATTGAGCTTGGATCCTTATTTTTTACACGACAGCTGCAGCGCTGACTTTTTATTGACACTTTTTATTGTAATTACTCGTTTATTTTTCATAAATAAACTATGATCGAATTTCGGTCGGCCAAATCATGTTTCCGTGTTTTCAAAATCGTCATAATCCGTCAATTATAAAACATAAGTCTGTTGCTATTTTTTCTGTTCCCACGCGGAGGGGGGCGAGTTTTTTACTGAATGGATATTTAGCTTATCGAAAATCAGCTTCATTTACTCGTGGATTTGTTCTCAGCTGAATTTCGAGGCGATTGGTAAGTAAATATCTTAAATAATTCCGCCAAAGCCAGGTTGATAAACACTTCCTCAGAAGATGAAAAACTTCAAAGGAAAGAAACCCTCTCAGCCGGAAACCGGCGATTCAAAACTCGTGAGCGGAGGATTATGGCTTCATGCCCGCTTTTTTTTCATGCTCAAGTACTGTTTTTTGCTGATAAAGATGATGATGAAGAAGCGGCTCCTCGGATAAAGAAAAGTTAACAAATTTATACGATCTCGATTTCAATTTTTAATGCAAAGCATGACTCACAGCCGGTCCGTCTGACAGACAAAATCGTCTTAATGACCAGCTTTTGGAAATTACGATTCCTGGGCTGGAATCATAAATCTTGGATTTGGAGCTTTTTCAAGTTTAAAAATTCATGCAAAAATTGTCAGTCTCGGGCGTTACTTCTCACAGCTTCTTGAATTTATGCTACAGGTGCTAATTTTACTGTAATTGGCTTGGCAGTAAATCGTCGACAAGGACGAATTGCCGCTATAAAGAATCATGCCCTTGAGTGGCAATAAAGCTCAATTTCAAATTTCCATGAATAAAATTCCAAAAAGAATAAAGAAAAAAATCGATGCACTAACTACTCATTATCATTTATACATCTCGAGCTTGTTTAAATCACGTGTTTATGTATGCCAAGGCATTGTTCCCCTACCCCTTGGCAGGCAGATGCTCATGAGTGTCCACAGATGTTGGTGAAATAATATTCAAAATTTTCGTAGGTTTTTGGAGTTTTTTGGAGGAATAAATATTTGCGCCTCCTTTTGGGAAAAAAGATGATAATTAGGGAAGACTTGTGTACTTGAGCTTTGCGACTTGACATTCCAGGTGGCCAAAATAAAGAAATTACATGCACTTGGCCTTGCGGGTCACGTGAACGGCGGATTAGCCTAGTTTGGGGAAATATTTTGAGTACTTTTAGTGATTTTTTGGGTAATTAATGATTTTATGCAAACAGCATTTCGATCTTGCTTTTTGCTTTGAAATTTACCTCAACTGAATTGAGTCAACTCAAAAATTAAGGGAGTCAGTAAGTTCACAAAAAAAAAGTCCATGAAAACCTGATCGTCTATCTTTACTCCTTTGTCCGATAAAAACTCCGGTAATGCGCCTTTTTATTGCACCCATAAACTCGGCATCCCTTTTTCTTATCTACCGTAATTGCTCGCTCTGCGCGAATTTCGGCACTTTCCGTCCCTCTTTTACTACACGATGGAAAGTTTTTATATCTCAAATAAAAGCCCCTGCCCACGTGTTGACAAGTTCCTGATTTTGTGATTTGAAGCCACTGAAGTCAGAATCGAATAACTTATTCATGCGTACGGAAACTGCTTTTGTATATTCTGGCGTATCATATCTTCCGCCGCACGTGCAATTTTATTTTCGGTGTTTTCAGCTGTTCCAACACTCGATTTTTCGAATCCTCGATCGCTAATTTTTTCATTCAGAATTCTTGGGCTTTTGATATTCTTTTCAAATGATGAAAAACATTCGATCGAGAAGTCGCTATCATAATCGCCATTTTCTTTTTGATTTTATTCCAAAAATAATTTTAACACCATCTTTTAGTAGCTTCTTCCAAAAACAGCTTGAGATAATCCAAGATCAAGAAATTTGCAAAACTCGCGCTCTTCTTTGATCCGCCGCTATTTACCTTGCTCAAAAATTTCTAGCACCTTTTCCGTGTTTTCTTGACCTGAAGCTGTTTTCGCCCGTTTGATAAGAAATGCACTTTTTAACCTCTTGACATGTGTTGCGCAAAATAAGGGTTGAGGAGTTGAGGAGTTGTGTATTACATAAAAAACGAGCTGCTTATTATTATTGGCGTCAAATACCGTTCTATTCAGCTCGGAAATAAAAAGGCGCATCATAAATCAGAGCGGCCCTTTGAAGTCGCCCGAATGTGCAAATTACCGCAAGAGCAAATACTATTCCAAACAAAATAAATTACAAATCGCCAAATTTCCAATTCGATTTTGTCAATTCAAAAATCTCAATATTCAAATCTCAACAAAGGGAGGGCTTTTATTGCCTTTGAAAAGTAGGTTTGAAGCGTTGAATTTTGGCAAAAGATTTTAATATCCGAAAGTCAATGGGGAGGAAATTGAGGACGAGGGGAGAAAGAGGGTTTTTGTTGAACTTGGCAACTAAAAAGAATAAATTTCAAGAAACGAAGCATAAATTTAGGGGCCGAAAATAATCTCTCTTCCTTGATTTCAAGTGCTCACATAGTGACTGGTGAAGTAACTTCGACCTCGTTCTGGATCATCACGCACCAGAGACAGAAGAAGGAAAGCAAGCAGTCACTGAACTAGTGTTACTCTTACTTATCTTCTCTTAATTTACTTGATAGCTGAGCCGTCGATTCCCCGAAGCTGTCGAATCTCGCCACGCTGGCTGCAGGAAATGCAGCACCAGCTCTGAAAAAGTTTAGTCTTCCTTGATTTCTTTCGATTTGGAAGCTAACGATTGGCAAGCAGCAGGACAAAATACAAGTTGCAGTTCCCGACTGGCCCATTTTCTCAACAACAGCTTTGTGGGACAAACAAGGGCACCAGAAAGTCTTGCAGCAGATTCCGACATCCGAGCAGCAACTTTTTGCAAATATAAACGGCAAAACTTAACATATTTATTCAAATTTCATTCGTTCCTGAATAGCCCGCTTCGAAACTCCCCGGTAGGAGCTTTAAGCACTTTTGGCTGCTGCGTTACAGTCATTTTTGTCGAAAAGTAAAGTTGCTCTGAATGTAAAAATGAAGAAAAACAAAGAAAATCAGCAGAAATGCACCTCACACTCTTGTTAGAAATTTACTCAATGAGAAAAATGGAGACGTGGCGATTTTTTAAATTGTTTTATTTTATCCTTCAGCCGAGTGGAGGACTCTCGCCCAAGTGGACTCTCGCCCAAGTGGACTCCCGCCCAAGATGGACTCCCGCCCAAGTTGGGCGAGAGTCCTTTGGGCGAGAGTCCATGTGGAAATTTTCAACAATGAGAAACAGAAAGTTGGGCGAGAGTCCTCCACTCCAATTGTTAATGACTATTCAATGACAAAAGAAAGCAATGAGCTGTATATAATATATATGCAATGTACTTTGTATAAATTAAAGTTAGGGTTAGGGGGCACTGGGCAAAATGACAGAACAACCTTACCCGAGGGGGATAGGCTAGGGTTAGTTAGGGTTACTGAAGGTAACCCTAAGTAACCCTAGACTAGACCCCGGCATCTTAGGACCTAAGGGGCGAAGCCCCGTGGTAAGGGGCAATTAGATTTGATAATTTCGGCTGAAAAGCGGTGCAGTAAGACTTACCTTCTCTTTCAACTTAGTCGAGGATAAGTACTTTTTGAGAGTTCCAGTTTTATTAGCAAAGGTCAATATTTTCTCACGTCAAAGAATTTATGCTTTCGCTTATTTTGCTGGACAAACCGAAACTGGAACTCTCAAAAAGTGCTAATCGTCGACTAGGTTGAAAAGAAGGTAAGTCTTACTGCACCACTTTTGTCATTGAATAGTCATTAACAATTGGAGTGGAGGACTCTCGCCCAAGATCGGCTCTCGCTCAACTTTCTGTTTCTCATTGTTGAAAATTTCCACATGGACTCTCGCCCAAGATGGACTCCCGCCCAAGTTGGGCGAGAGTCCTTTGGGCGGGAGTCCACTTGGGCGAGAGTCCACTTGGGCGAGAGTCCTCCACTCCCTTCAGCCACTCCTCATAGGCTGCTCCTTGATCGCGCGGAATCCTGGATCGCGCGGATCCCGGATCGCGCGAATTCCTTGATCACGCGGATCGGGTGATTCAGGATTCCGCGCGATCCAGGATTTCGAATGAAATTGGAAATTCAATTTACAATTCTGCTTTTCTTATTAAAAACGGGTAGAAATGGTGTTAAACCATGTAATAATTATCTTTTCAATGTAGAAATTTAAGAATATCAACTAAAAAGAACCTTCAACTAAATCTTCACTCAACTATTTTTGATTGTTTGATTTCCGGGACCTTCTTTTATACGCAGGGATTAGCAACGCTCAAGGTCCATTTGGAGGTGACAAATGGAAGGCAGTCCCGGATTTTTGCAGGAACAGAATAGAATAAATATTGAGAGCTACTCTTATTTTAAGTTAATTATCATAATTAACGATTCCCTTCATTTCCTTCTCTTGATTCTTTTCAAAACATTTCTCAAATATTTGTCTGACCCTGCGAAAATCCGGGACTGCCTTCCATTTGTCACCTCCAAATGGACCTTGAGCGCTGCTTATCCCTGCGTATAAAAGAAGGTCCCGGAAATCAAGCAATCAAAAATAGTTGAGTGAAGATTTCGTTGAAGGTTCTTTTTAGTTGATATTCTTAAATTTCTACATTGAAAAGATAATAATTACATGGTTTAACACCAGTTCTGGCCGTTTTTAATAACAAAAGCAGAATTGTAAATTGAATTTCTGATTTCATTCGAAATCCTGGATCGCGCGGAATCCTGAATCACCCGATCCGCGTGATCAAGGAATTCGCGCGATCTGGGATCCGCGCGATCCAGGATTCCGCGCGATCCAGGAGCAGCCCTCCTCATATCTATTCAGTCAAATTAAACTCTTGAATTTCCGATTCCCATGATTGCCTGTATAACAATTGGTCGTTCACTGAAAGATAACTGTAATTCACAAAATCTTTGAAGCAAGAAAATCTAAAATTCCTAATTGGCAATAAATAAAAGAATTCTTGAGATTTGGTGGCGTCAATTTGACAGAAAGTGCTTGTCCCTGTCGCTTGAAGTCTTCTGAGAGGAACAATATTGACTGAGAACGAAATCGTGCTTGTTAGAAATTCGAAAGCGCACCGCACCCAGCACCTGGCAGGACTTTTCCTGTCAATTTTCTGACTCTCAGGGCTAATTTTTCTGTTCTAATGACCGAAGATCTTATGGAAGCGGTCATTTTCTTTCAAGTTATGAATTTATTTTCAGGAAAGACAGTAGTCAAAAAGAGATTGTATTTACTGTCAGTGTTGCTGATTTTTCTTGAATCAGAATTGCTGATCATCAGCTTTTGGTGTAACTTCGACTTCGTTCTGGATCATCACGCACCAGAGACAGCAACAAGACAGCAGAAAGTCCCTAAATCAGCCCTTTCAATTGTATTTTTCTGATTAACTTGCTTGAAAGCCGAGCCATCGATTCCCCGAAGCTTTCGAATCTGGCCTCTCTGGTTGGAGGAGATGCAGAACCACGTCTAAAAATATTTCAGCCTATTCTTGATCGTGCAACTAGAAATTTACGATCGGGCACCAGCAAGAAAGAAGACAAGTTGCAGTTCCCGGCTGGTTCATTTTCTCATTCACAGCTTTATGCGAGAGACAAGGGCACCAGCAAGTCTTGCAACAGATTCCGACATCCGAGCAGCAGCTTTTCAGAATGATAAAAAAATTCATAGATAAGAATTCATCGTAAAAATTCTCATTAAAATTTCACTCGTTCCTGAAAAGTCCGTTTCGGAACTCGTTGCTCGGTCCTTTGAACTCTTCCGGCTGCTCAGTTACAGTCATTTTTTCTTGCGAGACTGAAGTTACTCTGAAGATTAATGAAGAAAAAATGAAATGAGTCTTTCAGTTTGGTTCAAAATCGACTTACTGAATGGATATCCTTGCTGAGAAATTCTGTGCAATTATTAAAATCATTTATCAGTTCCGTTGACCACTCCCTATATTTATACAGTCGCCGTTAACTCAAGTATTTCCCAGATTCTTAGTCTTCCTTCTCCTTTGAAATTTCTAGTCAACAGTTTCAGACCACGAAGCGTGTTTTCTGCCGTCGATTTCGGACTCGGGTGTTCTTCTTTCTGCAGAAGGATGCTTGTACTGAAGTAGAAATCCCGAAGTTGACCGCAATGGACCCTATTAGAAGACGAAACTGTGCTAAAATTGGAATGATGAATATTAACCCTGAAAAATGAAGAAGTATTATTTATAGCCTTGGCTCCCCGTCCGCTGGGACAACAACAACTCATAAAAAGTTCATGCCTTTTCCTCCTCTCCAGACGCAAAGACTTAGACTGACTCATAAAAGACCTGCTTTCTGATTTTCGGACCAAAGTTGAATTTCAAAAAACAAAGAAAAAACAAAAGAATTTTTTATTTTATTATTTTGAATTCAAAGAAGAGAACCGAAACGAAAAGAAACGGTATGGTCATTTTTGGGTTATTTTTTGACAGGTTGTAATCTGATCAAAATACTCAATTATTCAAATTCATGACAAAAAACGCGTTATAAAAGCTTGTAAAGGTTAATCTGCAGACTGCGCGAATTCGAGTAAACTTGACGGGCTGAAATACGCAAATCAGTTTGAATACTGAATAATTTAATTTGTGAAGCCGAATTCGAGAATGAAGCTAATTAGACTGGGCTTTATTTCGCAGTACATCAGAAGACTGCCCAGCTGATCATTTCAATGCTTTTTATAGTTTGATTTACGACGCTGAAGAAGTTTTGAACAAGAAGTTTCGATTTGGGAGACATGGAAGAGATCAAGGAAAAAGAAGAGGAAGAAAAATGCTGAGAAAGACGTTTCTTCTTTTCAGGAAAGGATTTTTTCGCATAGATAATGAAAAACTTTCAATTCGAATTAGCTCTAGAATTTTTTTGAAGTTTGAAATTTCAAATTGTCGATTTGGCCATCAAATATCGGACATTTTTGTTGAGTTTGTTGTTAAATGCTTCAAAACACAATTCGAGAATTGACAAGACTGTATTGTCGATAATACAACTGTCAATACTTGTAAGAATCAATTTGATTGTAAGGAATCCGTAAAAGGCCGGGAAAGAAAAAGTACGATCGCGAAAAACGTCGGTCCCAGCGAATGAAAGACGTCTACGTAAGTACCTTTCAAACTGCCCAAGAGGTCGGCTCGGCAACCTGTGTAAAAAACCTGAGTCAGGTTCTGAAGGGCTAAAATGAAAAACCGCGTAGAGGCTTTTTTAAGGGCGAAGGCGCTTCATAGCACTTATCGCGGCTTTTGATTCAAGCTTTTCAGAACCTGACTCAGGTTTTCTAAACAGGCTCGGGAGGTGGGAAAATGCAGCCAATTTGAAGAGTAATTGGCGGCTAAATGTGTGAGTCCGTGAAAACGTAAAATTTAATGCGAGAACAATGAAAAGGCAAAAGACAATTGTCTTTAGGCATTGAATTTAAATATGTTCTCGAATAAATAAAAAGGCCCTAATGCGAGCCATTCATTAAATTGGAGTCGACTATAAAAACGACACTAATTAGAGGCGAAGGGACACGCGCATGTTTCACGAAATTATTGAATTTTAAATCAGAATCGTTTTTCGAAGCAGTTCTTTTTTTTCAGTTCTTGTTCATGAAAAAGAAAAGAGAGAGAGGGGACGAATAGAGAGCAGTAGCTGCTTTGAGAGTTTCGATGTTTCGCTTTTGCAAGGGCTGGAGGAAGAAGTTCTGGAAGGGCAGCAGAATCACAGTCGTTGAGGATGACTGGGAACTCTTCATGGTAAGACTGAATTGATCAATCGAGTACTTAAAAGATAGGCAGTTTTTCTCAAGCTTGAAGCTGTTGTAGCAAATCTGTTATTTTTATTCTGAGAAGCCACTTTCTGGTTCACTCTTTCTGCTTCATTTTGCAGGGGGTCATGAGCAGTTCTGAACTAAATTGACCAAAAAAAAAAAAGAAAATTATAAAATTATTGTTTATTAATTTTTAAATGGCTGGGTTTATTAGCTCACTTAACAGGTAGACAAGAGGATCTTTTGAAGTGATGTTGATTCTCTAACGTTCTTGAATTTTTAATCGGCCGTTGTAGCCGCGCAACATTCACTAAACTAGTCACTTTTTCGTTTTGAGAGAAAATGACTCGCTGGAATCGGCAACGAGTGCGTTTTTGTTGAATCGCGGAATGCTTGGTTTCCGGAATTCCCAAAGCAGAGCGGCTAATCGTCTAATACGCCAGCTTTCCCTTTATTGGAATAGAGCGGAGGACTTTTCGTATCCATCTATTATTCAAACACGGTCTTTGTGTTCCAGTCGAAAACGTGCCACTGTCCCTCACTTTACAGGACTAAACGACAACTGATCCATTTACTCTGTATTTTTCAGACCTCAAAAAAAGAGAGAAAAAACATCGGCTATAGAAGCCGCGTGCGGCTTCGAACAAAAAGAAAAAATTGAAAAAAAAAGCGCGGCACAAATATTCTTGGACTCAATTAATCGAAGAATAAATCAAAAAAGCCGCTTGCGGCTATCAAAATTAAAAAAAAACAAGCTTTAATAATTTTATGCGGCTAACATTTTGACTCAAAAGCCGAAAGCGGCTTCCGGATTTCGACCAATTTATCAATAAAATTTTCGCTTAAAAACTTTTGATAAATCGATATTTCCGGCAAAATCGAAAAAAAACAAAATGTAGACAAAATTGCTTCTTTACGTCTGTTGCGGATTTTTGTGAACAAGGGGAGCGTCGTAAATTTAAAGTCGAAGAGATTATTTCAAAGTTCGAGGATTTTTGGCAAAAGAACAAATCAAGTGAGATTTTGAGACGATGTTCGAGAGAAGAGAGACTCGTTCGCTCTTACTGTAATTTCGGATAGAAACAGTAATAGTCTATTACTAATAGACAATTTTATTCCTGAATGATTAAATTTCTCCCTTTGATTTTCGAATAGAAGCTATAAATTTGCGCGGCGAAGCACCTAAACGCTCCTAAGAGACCTTGAAGAGAGCCGCCGCTTTAAAGATTTTTAATCCAAAAACCACAGAAAGCGATTTGATTGATTAGCGACTGATCCCTGTTTCCCGAATTCAAATTCAAAGTGGGAATAATTTGACAGAGAGAAACTTTTCAGAGAAAATGGGCGCGAACACAAGAAAAAGCAGAAGCAAGATTCAGTGATGCCCCAACGGCATCTGCGGCGGGCCAGGCTCAGATACTATCTCACCATTTGCAGTAGATCGTCTTGGGGATCGGTGAAAACGCACTTTTTAAAGCTCTAGAAATTCTAGCCTAGAATGATTTTCCTCTTTTCAAATGAATTATCTTTCAAAATGAAACTCTTGGTTGATTACAAGAAATTTTGTCTAGGTGCCAGTTGCTCTGTCTACCAGACAAATCCTTAGAAATAAGATTTTATGAGGATTTAATGGTCTCGTTTTATTTTATCTCATATAGTTTTACCACTTTTTAAAGTAGTTTTTTCAGTTATCAAAGATGGAATTAATTTTTAAAATTTTTGTCTGGCAGACAGGCGCATTGTCTAGTAGACAAAACCCTCAAAACGAAATATATTTGGATTAATCAACTGAAAATCTTTGAAAAATCCTTTCTGAAAAACGTATTTCGATCTTTTCCTCAATTTTGTCTACCAGACAGAATGCCTGTCTACCAGCCAAATCATGCTTCAATGCTTTAATTGCATTTATTTATTAATTTTTGCGCTGAATATCAAGTTTCAATTGTAAAACTGGCGTTTTGAGCAATTTTTGCCACTAAGCTCTTTTGTCTGGCAGACAGATAGTGTCAGAATATCATTTGGATATTTATTCAATTAAAAATCAACGCCACCGCGTTTCCTTTCAAGTTAAAGTGTCTCCTCGATATACTTTAACGTCGTTTTTAATTTTTAATCAATATCAGCTCTCAATTCCATCCCTTAGGACTGCCCCTGCTTTTAGTCGGAATTTATTGCCCGAGAGAAAGGAATGCAACTCAAGCGACAAAACATGTTTTTTGATAAAAACGGGGAAAAAGACGAGGAAAAAGAAGCAAGAACGGCTTTTTTGAACGTTTGCGTTTTCATCTTGTCTTGGGTTTTGTGCTGTCGGCCGATAAGAAGGTGCTGCGACAAAACATGTCGGGGAGCTTCCTTCCTCACTCCCAGCAGACCGACCCAGATCATTCCAGAGTCAGTCAGGAGAGACACCAAAGTCTTTCTCTCGAGAAATCAGGTAAAATTCAACAGCCAAAGGCTTTGTAATAAAGGGATTATGCGTGGACCATTCATTGACACTCTTGCCCCATTCTACCATTAATTCGCAAGAAAAACCACTCAAAACCGGAAATTTAGCTTGAAATTCAACTATTTTAATCAAACCAAAGTCATGTCGTCAGATATATCTTTTGTCTTGTCTTTTCTCACTATAAAAATCTCATCGATTTATTCAATTTAGCATTGAACTTTCTTAAGGACCCCCCCGTCAGCTTTTTCCATCGAAAAATTGAAAATTTTAAAAACACAATATTTTTGGTTCTTCATGCGTCCTCAGGTTAAACTTGCTTCAAAAACTTGATAAGAGGACTTTTTGGCCAAGAAAAATCTATATTTTTGCCAAAATTAGGGCAAATTCGTCAATTTTGGGCGAAAAGTCCAATTTTCAAATGCGATTTTGAGGGTGAAGGAGTCGAGATAGACCCCCAAAAAATGAAGCCTCAAAATCGTTTTTTGACCCGTAGAATCCATTTCCGGGGTCAAAATATTAAAATTCCGAAAATGGATTTTTCGAAAAAAGCTGACGGGGGGGTCCTTAAACAACAAAAATGAACTTTTGTTCTCTTCCTAGTTCTGAAAAACCCAATATCAATCTGGCAAAAAGCCGTCAATAATCCTAAATAATTAGCGAGAAATACTTTAATTATTCGATTTCGGGACAATGAGACACCTAAGTATCTTTTATTACATCAGAGGGCAATTTTTCAAATCGCCACAAAAGCAGAAAAAGCAGAGAAAAAATGTCAAAATGTCTTTTTGCACCGAATGTTTGGTTGCTCTGCGAATCGTGAGTTTTTTCGATTGATTTTTTCCGAGAAAATTTTTGAAAACGATTTTTATGAAGATGTTTTCTTGCTTTTATTAAAATTAATTAATTTTAGATGGATAACACTAAATAGATTCTATTGGATACTTAGATAAATGTCAAAAGATCTTTCAAAAACTTATTAAATTTTTACTTTTTTTACAAAAGAATCACCGTTACTAGCATTGAATGCAGTTTATTTGGACAGAACAAAAAATAGTTCGTGATTTGTCAATAATCTGAAGCGTAATGAAAAAGGAAAAGCTGAGATTTTTATGAAAGAGCGTGATCAACTTATAGAGCGTGAAATCTAACATTCCATCACAGTGGTCCCCGAGAAAATCCCTTTTTATTGAGAAAATGTTTTCTTGTTTTTATGTAGAATCGAGGAAAAAATGGCGTTCCAACGGTATGGTTAGTAAAAACCGTGCATGGTCGATATGAAGCAGAGAAGTTACTGTTAGAGTATGACATCAAAATGGGTTAATTATTAATATCGTATTCATCCCTTTCGACAGTTGTTCGGACTGGGCACAGGCACTAAAAGGATCACTCTGAGGAAGAGACAAAATAAAACAAGATTAGATTTTTTCAAAAAGGATCAAAAAGGATGAAATCGAGTTCAATTTCGAGATTCAAGCTCAAGCTCATTTCCAGACAAATTTTTTTGCAGTAAGATTTTGATTTTTGAACAAGAACTTTTTTTTCGCAGATTTAAGGGTCTCGCATGGATTATGGTCGTAGATTTTTGGCACTTTTCTCTCAAAGAAAACGGCCGCTTTCCCCCCTGAATCTTCCCTAAAGCTCCTTATCCCTTGATCTTCTTGAACTTTAGTGGCATTTTCTTCTCGCAAAAGACCTCCCTCGTTGACAGAGCGGACCCTTACTTCACTAATATTTTTGGGTATTTTTTGTGAGAGGAGAAATTCTGCTTCGATCCCGATCTTTTGTTCTGCATCAGACGCAGACAGTAGCGAAGGAGTTAATTGCCTTTGTAAAGGGGCATTTTTTATCAAAAGAGGAAAAGGGAAAAGAAAATTAGAGAGGTGTTTTTTCTAGCGAAAGAGGTACAGTCTTAAGTGCAGAGCAATTTCAGGGGAAAATTACTTAGTGAAACCCTTAATTTTTACTTTTTTGTTGAATCACCCGGCCTTTATTTTTATTTTCCCTCAGGCTACTTCTTTTGCATTGCTTTTTTCATCCCTTTTTTGGAATGCTTCTAACTCTTTCTTTTCAGGCGAGCATGCTCAACTCCGAAAACCGCGATGGAAAGCAACACCCTTATTCGGCAGGTGAGTCCTCCTTGATTTCAAGCTCAACTCAAGTTCAACAATTTTTGCTTGATTTTCGCTGCTACAGTAAATTTGCTTAGCGCACGGGGAAATTTCGCTTGCTAAGTGGTTTCTTTATACAATGAATAAGGTCGATCAAACACGCTTGCCAGAGCTAGTCACCTCTAATTCGTAAAAATCAGAAAATTTTCGCGGTTTTATTAAAAATCAAAAGCGCATGAAAAAATGCCGAAGAAGCCGAATAGCCGGGAAAGAGATTTTACCAAGTTGCCGGGGATCAAAGAGGAACTGCCAAAAGGGCTGAGAAATGAAGACTTGACGGGTTTTGCGCGCGGAATCGAGATCCAGCGCGTCTTCTACGACCGAGATATTTACTCGATCGTTGGCAACTGTCTCTGGCCAAAAGTAAAAGTTCAACGAAGCGAGAATTCAATAATTGAACTAGTTTATTATTAAAACGATCGCATCCTCGTGAACCTGCGGAACAGAATGGGCGCAAAAAGGACTGCTGGTCCGAGCGCAAAATCAACTCAGCCAAAATAATCTAGTCAGGCAGATGCCCATTTATTGGCGAATGAAGAAGTTCGGTAAATCTAGTTTGTTGAGTCTAAAGATTCATTGAAAGTACCGCAGGGATAAAAAACGATATTATGATTTTGAAATTATATTTTTTTCAATAAAGACCTTTGTTTTTGCTTCAGTTAGCCCCGTTTTTTGCCCCTTGATGACCTCAAATGACCCCGAATGAACTTGATTGACCCCTCAATGAACTTAAAGGCGCATTTTCGGACCAAAATTTACGATTTTGTTCAGAGGATTTGGATAGAATCATGACGGACAAGACGCGAATTTTCAAGAAGGTGCGCGAAAATTGGCAGAAAGATCGTAAAATGGTGTTATGGGATGATCGACTAAGTATTTGGATGAGCACCAAGGGAACGGACCTCACCCGCGCCAGGAAGATTTCTGTTGAAGACATCGAAGAAGTCAGCTTAGGTAAGAAAAATGACCTTTCTTTCTTTTTCAGATGATTTGTTAAGGGACTCACAGCGATATAGTCTGGGAAAAGGCGAAGAAAAAGATCGCCTTCCAAAGCGATCAGGCCTTCACGATCAGTTTCAAACTTGCGACTCGAATGGCGCCGCTGTACTTGATCGCCGAGGACAGCCAAACCGCGAGGGCTTGGGTCGAGGGACTCAGCCGCATTCGAGATCGAGTGTCGCGGATGACCAGCCGCCAAAGACACACTTGGTGGCTCTGGGAAAAGTTCAAGGCTGCGGACAAGGATGGAAACGGAACGCTGACCAAATCTGAGGTCAAGAGCTTTTTCAACAGCATCAACCTCAGGAATCGAGTTTTCAAAAAGCAAGGATAGTAGATTTTCCCTCTTATCTGTTTTCTTTCTTAAAAAACTCGGAAAAAAGCATGAACCCAGCAAACTTCGAAAAACTCTTCAAAAAATACGACGACAACAAATCGAACAGTCTCTCTTGGGGCAACGTCAAGGAGCTCTACGAAGAGCTCTTGATCCCGAACGAAGTCCGAAATCTCTACTACCAGATCGCCGGCGAAGACGAAACGCTCCAACTCTGCGAGTTCCGCGAGTTTTTGGAGAAATACCAATTCCACAAAAATTTGACGGATGAAAAACTCAAGGAAATGGTCCGCGTTTTTGAACCGACAGGTACTCTTTGATTGTTACTGTAGCTCCAGTATCGATTCTAGCGACGGAGAGTAATCTTGAAGATCCAAACTTTGAAATCGGCCTTTACGGATTCGCCATGTACATTCGCTCGGCAAAAGTGATCGACGATTCTTCCTACGAAAAGATGCAGGACATGAGCCGACCGATGACGGACTACTGGATCGCTTCCAGCCACAACACGTACCTGTTGGACGACCAGCTGACAGGGCCGAGCAGCACAGAAGCGTACAAAAGTGCCCTGTTAAAAGGTTGCCGCTGCGTCGAACTTGACTGCTGGGACGGAGCTAATGGAGAGCCGATTATTTACCACGGCTGGACCAGGACTTCCAAAATCAGCTTCAAGGTAAACTCTCAACCTTTTTTTCAACTCTTTATCTTTTCTCAGGACGTGATCACAACTGTCCGCCAATACGCCTTCAAAAAATCGGACTATCCAGTCTGCCTCTCGCTCGAAAACCACTGCCACATTCCCCAGCAGCAAAAGATGGCCAAATACATGGTCGAAATCCTCGGAGACCTTCTGCTTCGAGCTCCAGTTGACCCTGATGAAGATTGTCTTCCATCTCCAGAAGCGATGAAGGGAAAAATCTGGATCAAGGGAAAGAAATTGAAGGAAGCAGCGGGAGATTCGAAGAAGAACAAGGCGGAGAACGACGATTTCGTCGTCGACGATGAAGTTTCAGAAGAAGACGAAGGAGAGGGATACGCACAGGGGAAGGATCGAGACAGCCCAGTTGGGAATGGAAGTATTCCGGCAGCAGAAGAAGCTGGAAACCAAAAGAAACAGAAAAAGACCGTAAGTTTTAAGCTTAGGCCCGACCTGTTGCTTTTTTTATAATTTTCGAATCAACAAAAGTCATTCCCCGAATGATTCAAAACACTAACTAAAGTACAGTGGTACTTCAGAAGAAAAGCCATCCGCGTTGGGATTTTACAAAGCTTTGGCTTTCGTAAAAACCGTAAAAATCGGCGAAAACACTCTTCTTCCCGAAGAGTGAGCTTAAAAAGCTCCAAGGTTAAAAATATTTGCTCTTCTTGCACTTTGAATTTGTCTCACTTTTTTCTGAACTAACAAAGGAAGCACAAATCGATAATTACACAAAGAGAGTTTTTTTTTTGAACTTTGCTTTTTTCGAACGTCACTGTTTGTTTTTTCCTTGAGGAATGTTTTGGGGAAGAATCACTTATTAACCGCAAGAAAAGTAAACTTTGATTTAGTTCAAGGACCAGGTTAGAAAGACGAGTTTGTTGCTTCTCGCCACTAGTAAATCCATTACCGCCCCTGTAAGAAGCATTTTTAACATTTATATCTCGGCTCTAGGATCAGACACTTTTCAGTCGACTTCGACAGACGAGGAAATCTCTTCCTTGTTTTCTTCGCCCGAATTGCGACCTTCTTCAAAAACGAGTAGCTTTCGCTTCCGAAGCTCTCGTTTTCAGGGGCGCTCGCGAAAAGCGGTACTTTTTATTTTGTAAATGTCGTTTATTAACAGTGCCGTTTTCTTGTTTTTTCAATATTGCGCGCGTTCGTGTTTGTGTGTGTTTTTGGTTTCTATCTGTTTTTGGATTTTCCCGGAACTAATTTTTTTGTAGAAAAAGATCAAGCTGCATAAAGATCTGTCCGACTTGGTGATCTACACTCAATCCCGTCATTTAAAAGACTTCGACGATGCGCAGCAAAACTCGGACTACCGCCACATCAGTTCCATCGACGACAAAGTCTGCTCTTCCTATGCAAAGAACCAATCAGTAAGCCACTTTTCCACTCTTTTTCTCCAGCCCTACTCCTCTAGAAAGCACTTCTGAACCACACTTCCCGACAGCTGATCCGAATTTACCCCAACAAAAGAAAATAGACTCTTCAAATTACAATCCGATCCCTGTCTGGGCTTACGGATGCCAAATCGGTAAGCGTTCTCTTCCTTGATTCCCAATTAGGGCTACTCTAGTGGCGCTGAACTACCAAACTGCCTGTGAAGAAATGCTGATCAACCAAGCTCGCTTCAAACAAAACCAGGGCGCCGGCTATGTCCTCAAACCCGAATTTTTGCGAGAAGATGCTCTCCGCAACAATAATTTTGACATCAATGATACCTCAACTTTCCCCCGCTCCCAGCCCTTTTCATACAAAATCAAGGTCGTTTATTCTAACAAATTCCCTAAAAATCCGTCTTCAAGATCATCTCAGGCTGCCAGTTGCCAAAGCCGAAGCAGTCCAACAAAGGAGAAGTGGTCGACCCTTACGTTAAAATCCGCGTCGTTGGTCCTCCAGTCGACGATAATCCGAAGAACTCAAGGACGACCAAATTCATCGACAACAACGGCTTCAGGTAAAGAGCTTCCTAATTGCCCCTTTTCAGTCATCTTTTCAGTCCTTGTTGGAATGAAGAATTCACCTTGACGACTTGGTTCCCTGAACTGTCGATGCTTGAAATTCTGGTCTACGACAAAGACGTCGGAACAAAAGTAAGCAATCCCTAGAAATTTCCCTCAATCATCGTTTCAGGACGACAAACTGGCAAATTCGTACCTTCCAATGGACAGCATCGTCCCCGGCTACCGACAAATCCCGCTTTTCGACAAAGAAGGCGGCAGTCTCTACCCAGCCACTCTTTTCTTCCACATTGAAATAAGCGAGTAAAAAACACGCCGCCACCTTCATCTTCACCTTCAACTCGACCACTCCTCAAACAAAGAAATTAATTTAAAAACGACCTTGGTGCTTCCTGATCCTCACTTCTTTTTTTCGAAACTGTTCACTGCATTCACGAGCCTTAATAAAATAAATTCTATTATCTAAAATCTCCTCGCAAAAAATATTCCCTTTTTCTGTGAATTAAAAGTGGACTAGGGGACGCGGAAGGTGAGTAGGGCATATATAGGCCGAGATTGAAAAAGATGATGCTCAGTTAGGCTTTATTGTCCATTTATGCAATCGAACTAATTGTTGAATAAAGACTTTCTTGCAACATCTTAGCAATGATGGATCAAAAATTATTGATGCAAATTTGCCAGCACCTGGAGATGCTCACAGTGCTATCGGAGGACATGTTCCGACTTATGAGGGAAATCCGATTCTCATTGCTGGATATGATCATTTCAATAAGAGATACACCAGATCTGTCGAGCAATACAGGTTTGTACTTTCATACTTCTTGACGAAAACGATGATTTATAGTGAGAATGATGGCAGCAACCGTTTTGCCCGTTTTGCCGTTCTGCACCAATGCCGTTTCGCCCCGAATGCCGTTCTGCCCGTTCAGGGCGAAACGGAAAAATGGGCAGAACGAATTTTCGGGCGAAACGTCATTTTCGAGGCGAAATTTAGGAAATTATTTTGAATTTGATGATGAAGGCGAAGATTCGGTTGGCCCAGTCCCCGCCGAGTGAGAACGTGCAGGATTTGTCGAGCCGAGTGAAGGAGATGTAAGGGACCACGCCGCCGGTGTTAACTCCTGCAGAGGCTGCCCCTTGGTCCAAGTTTGAGAAAGTCTCGGTGTGAATCCTTGAGTAAACATAAACTGGGGGCATCCTGAGCCGGGAATTTTGATCAACCACGGCCCAGATGATCCTCAAAACTGAAGATATGGAAGACAAAAAAATAGAATTTTAATTCTCCGCTATCGTTAAAGTCTTTTGATGATAGACTTTTGAAATAAATCACTTCCAATTATTATCAGCTGCTTGAATCAAAGTAACTTTCTTAATTACTTCCGGTTTGGGAGTAGGGGGAAAGGGAGAATCTACCTGCACATTTGGTTGCGCAACTCAAAGAGGCCGTTGCTGGAGGACCGTTGGAAGATAAGTCTATCAAGAAAAGCATTCGAGAGAAAATGGCCCGAGTTTCGTTACTTTTTGAAGTTACTTTTTCAAAGTAACTTCACTTCAAAGTTAAAGTGAAGTGATTCGGAACTCTGGCCCGAAGATGAACATCACCAGCATCAAAAATTCCTGAGGAAGCAAGATCGATTCCTATCTACCATCACAATCCTGCCGTCAGTTTCTTTAATCCCGATTCAACTTAAGTGGTCAACGAACGATTTCTTCAAGCTGAATTTACGAACAAGAGGGGCATGTTGGTCAAGATCTGGATATTCAAGAACGAGATTCATCTTGCATTTTTGACATTAAAAAAAATTACGACTTCATAATCGTGATCAGCAGTCAATTTTACCCTAGTTGGTAATTTTTCAGAAAATTCCATTTTTGCTGTCTTCCACATCTTCATTTTTGAAGATCATCAAGGCTGAGCTTGATCATGATCTCTGGCTCAAGATGCCCCCAGTTTATGTTTACTCAAGGAATCACACCGAGACTTGCTCCAACTTGGGCCCAGTCTCTGCAGGAGCTCACACCGGCGGCGTGGTCCCTTGCATTTCCTTCACTCGGCTTGACACCTCCTGCATGTTCAAACTCGGCGGGGGTTTGGCTAACCGAACCTAAATTGATGATCGTACAGGAGAAAAGATTTGTATTTTTAAAATGAAGCTTTACTTTTTAACTTTTTCATTTTCCAAAATGCCGTTTTGCCCAATGCCGTTTTGCCCCGAATGCCGTTCTGCCCATTTTTCCGTTTCGCCCTGAACGGGCAGAACGGCATTCGGGGCGAAACGGCATTGGTGCAGAACGGCAAAACGGGCAAAACGGCTGCTGCCGAGAATGATGGCTGGATCAACGACTACAGGATTCTTTTTCCAGAGTCGTATATTGAAAGTTACTCTTCTGTTTGGGGCGATTTTGGCGTCGTCATCTTTCCAGGAGACTCTCAGTATGTTTATCTGTTCAAAGTTTGATAAAAACACTGTTTCTTCATAGGACAGTTCAATATACAGTGGGTATGGTCAATTTAGCAGCGGGCAAATTAGCAGATTTTGCTCAAAATCGAAAAAATTTTAAAAATCGTTATTTTCCCCGAAAAAGTTACACTGGTCCATATTTTTCTTGAGTCGGCAACTTGCCAATGACAAGTAAAATGGCAAGTTTGGCAAGGCAAGTACTTGCCTTGCCTTGTCTTGCCAAGGGAATTATCCTGGCAAGCTAATGGCAAGTTAATGGCTAGGTCTTTTTCCCTTGATTTTTATGAAGAGTTCATGCTCAAAAATCATTTTCTAAAGTAAAACAAGTCATTTTCACAGAGAATGAGGAACAAAACAGTCGGTCAGTTTTTGAAAAACTACTCAAAGACCCATCGGGCCGGACCTGAAACTCCGCTCGTGTTAGTATCTAGCAAATTTCTTGAAATTATCTTGCCAGAACTAGCCATTTCTATAACTTTCCATGGCAAGTAACTTGTCTTGCCATCAGTACGTGACAGCAAAGGAATGATTTTGATGGATAGAGTTTTGATAGGCCGGTAAGCCAAATGTAGCAATCTTATTGGCTCCGAGTAATGGGTTCCTTTGGTGTACGTTACTATATTATTCACTCATTTGGTGTCTCGTCTTATCATAATTGTTCTTTTTCTTTGTTAATACCAAATTTAATGATTTGAAAATTCTGGTCTCGAAGTTCGGAATTTTTTTGGAAAATGGTCAATTTAGCATATTTTGTCGAAATCTGCCAAAAAAACTACCTGCTAATTTGACCATACCTACTGTATATGGCGACTGTACAATTATGAATGGACCCAAATTGGAACTCCTCAATGGTTTGATGAATGAAGCTTTTCTTTTTTTTAGAAATTTTTAAGGACCCCGCGAAGATATTATGCGAGAGCCCTGCTTTTCCCAAATAATGAGGTCAAATGCATTTTCTTTCTAAATAACTAAATCTGTTGAAGGTAATGGTCGTCGGTGGCGACTGATATCGCAAATTCACGAAATTCACCTTCAACGACGATTTCACTTCGATCGAAGGAGAAGACCTCGACCATTTACCAGAGACTGACGACTACGATGATCCTTTTGCTATTCTAGTGCCTGACGGCTTCTGTACACTTTAAACTAGAAAATCGAACGAGAGAAAAATAATGTTTGTTTTACGAGAATTTTATTGACGAACAGAAAGGCCGACTTGAGCAGCTTTTTTAAAAATGTCTTCCGAAGTCTCATCAAGAAAAAAAACAAATCATCTTTTTGTTACATAGAAAAGCTCTTACAGTCCTCATTGTCTTTTTTTTTGCGCTGGGATTTCTCAGCAACAGTTTCTTTCTCAGGCTCTTCTTCTGTAACCGGAGCCAAGGTCTGTTTTGGAAGATGCTCATGCTCGGGCTTTTCTTCTTCGGGCATTGAAATGTCTTCCTAGACGAACTCAGGAGTTAGAATTGTTCAATCACTGTATTCCTCCAATAAGAGTAGCTAACCGTTTTCCTTTGCTTTGGAAGATTCGCCGTCAAGAAGAGCAATGAGCTTCTCAATATTCTCGTTGATTTTTAGCACTCTTGTTTCTATCCTATCAGCCCGTCGTTTCTCTCAAATTTTGGAGCAGGCTTTGTTCTACTTAATTCAGAGAGTTTTTTTGGAAAAACGGGCAAAACGGTTGCTGCCATGTCGGAAACTCAAGAATCTGAAATTCTGAAAGACCAGATTTTAAACTCAAGCCAAAAAATGAAACCCAACCTGCCCTCTTGCTGCTCTACGGAGACTCAATCGACAAAAAAGACGAACTCCGACCTAACGACATCGACGTCTATTGGGCTGCTACCACGTCTGGCCCTGGAACACGAGAGTGATCAGATCGCACTACGAAACGGCTACTGATCCCACAAAGGTTTGATCAAAATTCATTTTCTTCTATGATTTCAAAAAGGAATGGGTCGAGGAGCGAATCCGGCAGTTTCCAGTTCAGGGCGAATTCCTCAACATCAGTTCAGCCGATGGCCTGTTCGACTTCATATTTGATGTCCAGTAGGGCAAAATCTCTCCCACCGTTTGGTGCCACAACGTTCCAGCGGGAACCTGTGAAGGAAAGACTGCTGCTGGTTGACTACGACAACTCAGAATTCGGCACTAGAGCTTTTGACCTCGCCTACTACATCATTCACTTCTACGAGAAATTCAACAAAGATATTAACAAAGACTCCTTGAACATGTACTTGCATGAGTACAACAGAATCAGCGAAGTCCGCCAATTTTCAATCGAAGGTACTTTAACCTAAGCAGTGCAAGGTCTCAAATTCCTCCTAGAGCTGGAGCAAGAAATGAGCTGCGTCTGGCCATATCTTTTCATGGAGCAATCCGTGTTCTACCGCTCAATCGGCGTCGACGAGGACTTCTGCAACTTCCTGTTCAACTTAATGCGAGAAATAAAGTCTAAGATTTGAAAACTTCGTTTATTAGTAATTAAGAAGGAGAGAATTCTATGAATATTTCTTTCAGAACTGCTTTCACTAGAATTTGAATAAACTCCAATTTTATAGATCGCAAAAATATCAGAAAATGCAATTTGAAAATGAATTTTTCTAAGAAAGTTTGCGAACTGGCCTCTCGCTTCCGGAAAATATCAATCCTTTGTGCTCCTGGCGAGGCAAATTCCCGCTGGAAGTCCTATCAGCAAACACGCTCCGCATTTTCGCACCGATTGCTTGATCATCTGCTCGATTTCCTGGTCGGTGGAAATGTGCACAGGCAGCGCGGGTCCGTCGTCTTGACTGGTGCAGCCGGCGTTGGCGCTGAATTGGCGCGGCGGCCAATCAGCGCCCGCGCTGCCAACTTTCCCACGCGCCGCGTCGAGTTTTCTTTTTTTTTTCGAAAACGGCGAAAATCGCCGCTTTTTGTTTTTTTTTGAATAAAAGGGCTGAAAATCAGCCCTAGAATTTATGAAGAAGGAAGAAGAAGATTTTATTAAAATTTTTTATGAAAAAAAAAGAGATTTTAGGAAGAAAATTGAAGAAGAAGAAGAAAAAGAGATAAAGAGAAGAAAGGAGAAGAAAAAGGAAGAAAAAAGGTAGGAGAAAAACCTGTGTAAAAAACCTGAGTCAGGGCTCAGGAAAAGCAAAGAAGAAAAGCCGCTTAGCGGCTTTTTTAGAAAACGAAGCCGAAATCGGCTTCGTTGGAAAAAATAACTTCGTTTCGTTTTAAAATTCTTCAGAAGCCGATTTCGGCTTCTTTTACTGAAAAAGCTGCTAAGCAGCTTTTATTTTTCACTATTCCTGAGCCCTGACTCAGGTTTTCTACACAGGTTCTTTTAAAATTGGGGGGGAAAGATTTGGGAGAAAAAAAGAGCTATTGAAAGCTCTGTTAGGACCCTGACTCAGGCTTTCTTTAAAAGAGAAAGCCAATTTCTTGTAGCTGAGAATCCCTTTTTTTTTCGCCGGAAGTAAAAAAACAGGGTAGCTCAGTGGCCAGAGCGCGGATTAATTTCCGGGACGTGGGTTCGAATCCTACTCCTGCACTTCTGGCGCGAAAAAAAGGATTTTCAGCCGCTAGAAATCGGCTTTTTCTTCTAAAAAACGAAGCCGTTAAGCGGCCTCTCTTAATTTTAAGGCTAAAAAAGGGGGAAATCTGAGTCAGGGTCCTGAGAGAGGTCATTTTCGGAGAGCTCGAATGCCTGATTCAGGTTTTTTAATGAAAAAAAGGGCTGAGAAGCCGATATTCTCCAGAAAACTGAGTAGAAAACCGGAGTCAGGTTTCAAAAGAGCTAAAATGAAAAGTCCCAATGCTTTTATTTCGAAAACGAAGCCGCAAGCGGCTTTTACAAGCGATAAAAATGGCTCAGATCAATTCATTCATCTTCCGAACCCACCAAAGAAAGGAGCAGCTAAGAAAGAAGACCCAAAAGAAAGAAGAAGCGCCAAAGAAAAAGGACAAGCCAAAGAAAGAAAAGAAGGAAAAGAAGCCTCAGCCAGCGAAAGCAGCCGAACCAGAAAAGCCAGCCGAATTTTCATCCCTAGAAAACAATTCTTTCAGCAAGAGCTTCCGATGTAAACCTCTACTCTCGATCTGCTCTTCACGGTAATTACTGCACGATTGCGATCATTCTGCGCGCCGGGTCCCGAAATACAGTCGATATTCCAAACGGCGTCGCTCACTTGGACGAGAAAATGGCCATTGGAGCGACTCTCGATTCTTTTGCTTCGAGAACGCAAGTCAGAGAGTTTTTGGAGATAATCGGCGGAATTAGCGACTCCCAGACTGACCAAGAAGGGCAAGTAAGCCGCTACAAAGCTGCTGCCGATCCCAACGAATCTTCGGAAGACGATCTAAAGGTAAAAAACTAGAATTACAGGCCAGAGAAGCATTATTCCTAGCTGCGGACGTGGCAAGACAAAGCAGAGGAGCTAGAACTGACAAATGAACATTTGGAGAAGAGGCTTGAGAAGATCCGACAAGCGAGAATGAAAATTTGAACCAAGATTTCCATCGAAGACAAAATAAAACTCTGCCAGCGAAATTTTGCATCTCTTCAACCTCACTTCACTTTCATGCCTTTGAACGACTCACTCTATGAATTCTTTAAATCGGAAAAAAATAAAGATATCATAATTCGGCTTCTCGTCTCATAATCCTCAATCTTTACAAGTGAAAAGTACATCACTCATTATTCAACTTCGATGTTCCCATATGCAAGTGTATCTACAATTTCGCATATAAACTAGTTTGAGTTTAAGACAATTCTGCATGACACAATTCTGCTAAAGTAACAGTACAGGCCTACTTTTTCCAAGAATACCTATCTTTATGTTACAAATTGTGACTTTTGTCTACAAAAATAAGCCTTTAGAAATGAGCAAGAAAAGGAGATTCGGCTTTGACAAGAAGCAGGCAACGTTTTCGTCTTTGTCCTCGTCGCTTATGATGACTTCCCTTCTGCGCCAGAACGAAAGATTCTATTTCGAGTTCGCCGACAGTGACAGTCTGCTTGTGGAGATAGAAGAGCAGTACGCTTATGTCGAATGCACGGATTTCACTCTGAAAAGCTGCCGAGGCGCTTCAGGAACAGCATGTCTTTGGCTCGGACGAGTACTGGATTGCCGCGGCGACGACGTTCTTCTTTGCGGGCTTCAGGGAGGAACCACTCTGGAAATGCGAAACGAGACGATCGACAATCCGCAGAAAGACGTCTCGCCAGAAGAGCAGAAGGAACTAGACGCGGAGCTAATCCACGAAATCCGCAACTGCAGCTACCATCTGACCAAGTTGGACTACTTTCACAAGTTCATGCGCCTCCTGCTCGCCGAGTGCAAGGACATTTTGAAAGTGCCGATGGAGGATGACTCTGGACATCAAGTGCTCATTCGACTGCTCTTTTCGGTGGTTTACACGATCGTGGAAATCTTGAGAAGACCGCCGGCGCCGTTGGACAGCGAAGAGCGGCAAAAAGTGCACTTTTCTTTCAAGCAGAGTTTGCAGGATTCGGTCGAGTATATCGACGATTTGTTGATGATTCTAGTCGATGTTAACTCATCGTCGTTAGGTAAGAGCTGATTATTCAAGCGTCGTTATTGAAAAGTTGTAGCTCCCGTAATTCCGATGAAAAAAGCTGTCCTTCTGAAGTGGAAATTAACATTGGCGACTTTCGAGAAATGGAACGAAGCAAGAATAAAAACGAAAAGCGATACTTGCAGAAATCGAGTTCCCAGCTGATATCATGCGAGAACTGACGCCAGTGACGACTCACATCGACACAATGGTGATGAACATGGCGGAAGGGCAGATTGACTACAACGGCCCGCAGCACAGACCCAAGCTTCAGCGAAATCAAAAGCGGAATACGAGCGAGCTTGAAGACGAATTCGACAATTTAGATGACGAAAATGCGGAGAATAGGCCGTCTACTCCCACTCCCACGCTCGGTCGCGGCTCCAGAAGGCCGAGTTTGACGTCTTCACGGCCGACCAGCCCGTCCAGAGAGTCCGAGAGCTCTCTAGGCCCGAGCTTTGACAGTCCCCTTGCCACGTGGACGTATCCTTATCTTCCCTGGAAGCCGAAAGTGACGCTGAGCGAGATTGACGACTTCGTCAGAATGGCGCGCTCGAAGTACCTCGACTACAGCTTCAAATACCCAAAAACAGAGGCGCAAATGCTCGCAGCGGTTCAGAATCGTTTCGGACTCCCGAAGCCGACCAGAACAGCATGAAAATAATGGACAAATACATTTACAAAAGCCTGGCCGATGTACAACGCGAAAAATGGGCGGAAACGGAGAAACACCAACAAGAAAAAAGGAAACTTCTTCGATCGAAAAGTTGTACGAGCGAATCTGGCAGAATCTATCAATGAATGTGATTTCGCTGTTGAAATAATTGCTGGCAGCGGCGCCGACTGCGAATAAAAGCGATATATTCATGCAGGATCAGATGGGGCCGCATTCCATTCAATTAGGAAGGGTTCAAAAGCTTTAAAAATCGGGTAGAAATTACTGTTATAAATTCATTCTCAACCCAAAAATAGAAGGAACGCAGCTCTTCAAACTTCCTGTCATGCTGATCGGACTCGACGTCAGCCGCCACAAAGAAATCGTGACAAAAGCAATCTCTGGATTTATCCTGCTTTTGATGAAGCACCTCTTATCGCCAAGTTTTTCAACCAGAATATGACCGTCTTCGTAACTCAAAGAAATCAAATTCCAAAGCTAGATTTACGAAATGCTATTCGAGGTAAATCCCATTTTTCGTCTTGAAAAGGGATCATTTTCTAGGGCTGCCAATCATCCAAGCGCTGATAGAACGAGCAACTGAAGAACAGATGCCCTACTGTTGGCGAAACATGTTCTCTTCAATTTGTTTCTTGAGAATACTCGTCAAAATCATGAAAGGAAAGCCTTGGCGCGTCATATGTTTGGTCAAATACAAAGCCACGAACATTTTCAAAAAGACTCTTTTGGTCAAACACGGTGTTTTTCACATCTACGTTTTGAAAGTCATCAAGCTTCACGCGAGATTTTTGGGAAGACAGTGGAGGAAAAGTAATATGGACGTGGTTTCCGGAATTAACGGGTATTTGGGCTTTTGGCTTTTTGAAACAATTTCGATAATTTCAGCATGGTGCGCCATCATTTGACAGACGATTGGGCTTTCTTCAATGCAGAGCCGGACAAGGAATCTTCAGTCCAAGAGGAAAATAAAATCACGCAGACCTGCTCCTCTTTCAACAGAATAGTCTACCTCCCCGAAGATCAGGAGTGGACCAAAACTGGACATATCGCCAAGTTCAATGAGGTAATTTTCATAATCCTGGTTATATTTTCAAATCTCGGTTCAAGATTCGCCTGCCGCCAAATTTTGGGAGTCGCTACAAAGCTTGGCTGGAAAAGGAGGTCATGAGCGTCAACGTCGACTGGGATCAACTGCTGAGTCCGGAGAACGCAGCCTCTGTCTATCAAGCCGAAGACCAGCCGGTTGCTGAAACCGCTGCCGCATAATTTCTCAAAACCACTGTCCAAATGATGATTTATTACCTAAACGACGTTTCTACTTGTTCAAACTTTTTCCTTGTTAAATACAACTTTCACCGATTCCACTTTTCTTCTGATGAATCTTCTTTCAGAAAAGGATGATTCGAAGTCGCGTTTTTTCGTCTTTTCTTTCGCGGAGTAGTCGCAGGAACAATCGAGTAGCCCTCCGATCTCCCTCTTTGGCGAAGTTTGAAAACGAGTCCTTCGTCGAACTCAATAAAGACCCCTTCAAGACCGAAATCAAAAAGATTCCCATTGACGATTTTCGCTCTTTGACTCTGGTGACGCGCCCATCTCGACATGGAACTCACACGACTGTTGGATTGTGTTTTGCCGCGGGATCGAGGCATACTGGCGCCTTTTCTCCTGGAATCAGTCATCTTGACCAAGCGCTCGCTTTTGGGAAATGCAGCTCTTTTGAAAGTCGAAATGAAATTCGGGAACGGGTCAAAACTTTAAAATTCAATCTTTTGGATTCTCTTTCTTGATTTCAATGATTTCTTAACCTTGAAAAAAGGATTATTTGGACAAATGCGGGGCCATTTTCGACGCTCAAAGCGACCATGAGACGACGATCTACGCCTTGTCCATCATGAACAAGCACATTTCAGAGGGAATCAAGGTGCTCTTCGATACGGCATTTCAACCGATGCTCACTGAGAACTGCATTGAAGAAGCCCTGGCTTCGGTGGAAAATGAACTAAAGCATAACGAATTTGAAGCTGTCCGAGTTAATGAAATTTGCGAAATGGCTATTCATGCAGGCTTCAATCACTCGACTCGTGGTCTTGGAATCAAACGAAGCATGTAGATCCGTCTTTTGGGGTTTCTCAATCAAGGTAAACTATCAAGTTTATTTTATCGTGCGAAATTAATATTCAGTCTTCCATCCGAACCGGCAGTTTGGACGGGTGGAGCGGCGCACTTGATTTCTGGTTCATCTTCGTTCTCGATTCTCGGCGACGAAAGCAATTCACAAACTTACTCTTCAATCGCCTGGGAAGCTTTGAGCATCAACGACCCAGATCGCTACACCTGCCACGTTTTACGCGCCATGCTGGGCGGCCAAAGCTACTTCGAATCGGGCGGCCCGGGCAAAGGAATCACCAGTCTCTTGTGCACGCAGATCTTGGCGAATACTCGCAGAAATCCGGTTTCTCCGAAGTAGACCAACTTCTCTCCGGCTTTCTTTTCGCGCTTGAACAAGACGATGTCGAAAGAGCGGTGAAAATCATGAATCAATCTTCTCGTGAGCTGAGGACTAGCGCTGGTTTCTTCTTATAATCGACTTGCATAGGTAAGCTCCTTTCCCGACCCCTGTTTCTACATATTTTTTAGTAAATCTTCAACTGCCAGAAGCCTCAAAGATCGTCTCTCCTTTTCCAACCGTCAAGAATCACCAGCTGTACTTCATGAAGAATTCGTCTCGTCGCTAGAAAACCCAATCGTCGTTTACAACCGCGTTCCAAAAACTGCCTCCACTGCCTTTACCCATCTTCTCTACGACCTAACCAGAGGTAAGCACTTCTTTCCCGGCTCTTATCTTAAAAACGCACTAGAAAACTCATTCTACGTCATCCATGTTAATACAACCGTGCCTAGACAGAATCCCGCAATCATGTCCCTCCAGGATCAAATGCTCCTTCGACAAAATATGACGACTTGGGGCCTTACTCCTGCCTTTTATCATGGTCATTTCGCCTTCTTCAACGTCCCAAATGTCTTCTAGATCAATTTGGTTCGGTAAGAGCGCCTTTCAATAGAATTTGTCTTAAAATATTAAGGAACCCATTTGACCGACTGGTCTCGAACTACTACTTTCTCCGATATGGTGATAACTTCCGAAAAGGACTTCTGAGGAGTAAGAACGGCGATACGACGACCTTCAACGAATGCGCGAAGAAAGAGTCAAGCAAAGACTGCTCGATTCAGAAAATGTGGATTCAGGTAACTCGAATCAGGGTCTTCAGATGTCAGCCGCATTCATGTAGATCTCTTAGAACCTCTCTGTATGATGGCGTAAGGGTCTGAAAATTGCCCCAATGAACGCGATTCTTGATCTAAATTTTAGATTCTAAAATTGCAAAGAGTCTTATAGGAGACACCAAAGTGTGCCGCCCGGATAGGAGGGGGTCAAGGGCGAGCCCGACCGCAGCTTTGCCTCATCTGAAAATGCTCTTGTTTCTGATAATGCAAGCTTGTAATCGCTGACATTCATCTTTAGATTCCTTATTTCTGCGGCCAAGTTGCAGCATGCTGGGAGCCCGGAAGCCAGTGGGCTCTTGATAGAGCGAAGCAAAACGTCCTCGAACACTATTTTCTCGTGGGAAAGACCGAAAATCTGATAGAATTTGTTGAACTCCTGGAGAACGAAATTCCTGCAGTCTTCAAGGTAATTTTCACAAAGAGACGTTCAAAATCCTCGGCAAATATCTCGAGAAGGAGCTGGCCGAGTCAAACATAAAAGTGTGTAGACTCGCGGCAAGCAAGGTGACGACGCTAAAATCGACCTTCGCAAGCATGAGTAATCAGCTGGGCGTCAAGTACTCTGATGTCAAGTTCATTACCTCCAAGAATTCCTCGACGCGGAAGTTATGCATCCTGACTCATACTTCCAACTTTCTGGTCGCTGTTTCGAGTGGTCCCTTATTGAGTTTCTTAGGTAGCGTACCCATATCAAACTGCATTTGAACTAATCGGTGATTTAGCCATGACTTCTCTGTGGCAAACTACGCCTCAAAGTTAAAGTTTGCAGCTTTGGCGCATTACTCAAACTTCTTCGCTTCTTTCGCTTGTTGGCCTCGAGAAAAGTCACTTGAAATTGCGAGAACGATCAGCAAACGAGAAATCGCAATTGTAAACTCTCTTCCTTCGGTAAAACAAAGTCAGATTTCCTCGGCAGCGGAGTTCGTCGCAGCTATAGAAGAATTCTTCGACAACCACCGTCGACGGTCCAAAGACCGTTTTTCAGGTAAGATTTAGTCTGCTATTTTCTTTTAAAAAACTTGTTCACTAGGAGGTCAGAAAGGAATTCTGCGGGAGGCTTGATAAAATCGTCGAAAAATACTTGAGTAAGGCGCGACAAAAAAAGCCTTTCGCGGAGATTTTCTTCTTTTACAAACTCAAACTGGTCGACAACAAGATGGTCCCTCCGATGGTCAAAAACATCGAATCCGATTCAGTACACTAAGTAAACGACTCGCAAATTTCAAAATATTGAATATGAAATTCAGGGACGAAAAGATGCAACTGGTAAACGCAGATAGCAGTAATCCCAATCTTCCGCCTGTGTGTGTTGCTTTCAAGCTCTTCACTAAAATGGGTTCAATGGTGAATGTCGCAGACTGTGGCTTGACTCCTTCAAGTGTATTCTTGAAACCGGAAACAAGAAAATCAAGAAGGAAGACTTGGATGCCACCTTTTTTCAATCAGTCAGCGATCTTCAGTTCCTCGGCCTTCTGAAACCCGCACAGCGAAAAACCGATCACGTCCAGAAAGTCACCTGGGCACTCTGAACATTAGAATTCACTTGTTTATCCACTTATCACTGCCTCTCAAATTAAAAACTAAGCCTGTCATCCTTTTGACTCTAAAAGGTCACTTTCAGCATGACTCGGGCGAAATGCAAGGATGGCATCAAGAATATCTTGAAGTTGAGTTCTTGCGGCATCGTTCCACCCGCCTTGTATGAATCTGGCGCGGCTGGTTAGGGCAAGACGCACGTTCCGAAGCAGATCATTGCGGAAAGGCTTCCAGTTTTCGTCGTGATCGAGCTGGCAAACTTGTTCATCAAGAATCAGCCAGAAGCAGCGACATCTCTCGCTCAACATGAAAAGTTCATACCAGACAATCGCTTGTGCGTCATTTTCGAGTCTCGAGTTGCCTTTCGAGTACATGCGGCGAATCATCACCGATTTCGACTTATTCTTCGCCCTCTTCGTCAACCTGCACATGTTGTTCAACTATTCAACGCTTCCTTCCGCGATCCCGGCTACACTTCTTCCCGCTTCTACTTCTCCAGCCGCAACTGCTCGAAATTTATCTCCCCGAAGCCGACTTGCTCGCACCACTGCTCCGTCTGCGCCAAATGCGTCATTCAGATGGGTACCAATTCGCTCTCCATTCATGCTTTTTGATCCTCTTTGCTATAGACCACCACTGGATCAACAACTACGTGGGCAATTTCAATCGGCGCTACTTCTTCAACTTCTGCCTGCTCCTCATCTCCGAACGCCAGACCACGCTTCAGGTACAAAACTCGCCTAACAAATAAACCTCCTTATACCATTATTTAAGCGAATGCATCCGACAAAAGCCCCTTCTCCGCGCAGCCGCTGCTTCGAGAACTGGCTCAAGTTCTACAGCATCCTTACCTTTAGCCCATTTTTTACCCGATTTCTGATTCCTTCACCTCATTTGCCAATCGACAGCGGTGTCCCGGAGCATCTGAGCCAACTTCCGGCAGACCTCTTTACGAAAAGAGTAGAGAAAGGATCCCATATTTTTTTGTTCAGACAGTGCGTTATCGGATTGAAAATGAAGCCTTCACCCCACTTCAAATCGCCGAAGAAGACTTCTAACAAATCATCCAACTCGAAGCTGGCCTCAGATCTTGATCCCGACCAACCAAGTAAGCGATAAAATAAACATTGAAAATAAACTCGAATTATAGCGCCGATTCCCCAACGAAAGATAAGATTTGCGAAGGAATCAACTGAGATTTCCCCTGAAATACCGTTACCGGAGCTTCCCCAATCTCAGGGGAGCACGGATGGCTGGGTAAACTCTGCTCTTGCTTCTTCACAATCCTCTGAGAACACCCTGGGATCCGAAGAAGAGATCGATGGAATTTCCGTATCAGTCAGTGGTGAACTTTTCGATAATGAGCTGCAGCCAATGGATACTACGCAGATTACCCAGCAAGACCAAGAAAAAGCTAACTACTCTCAAGGCTCCTCCGTCTACAAAACGCCTGAAAAGAGTCTACCGAAAACGCCCAGTAAGACTGATCAATCAGCACCCGCTACGGCTCCACAGCCCTCGAGAAACCTTCGTCGAATCCTCTTCAATGAAAATCAGACAGGGAGATCAAAAAAGGTGATGAAAAGCAAAGCGAGGAAATTCGACAATAAATCGAATAGGTCCTTTGAAAGGAATTTCGGATTTGAAAAATTCTTTTATTAATTTGATCCTTTGAATTTTTGAAATCCGGCAAAGACGAAACAACACGTCATCGAAACATTACACGATTGACGATATTTTCAACGATCCGATCGTTCCAAACTCGACTTTTCCAAGCGCCAAGAAGAAGCCCTTATCAACGAAGAACGCGATGGTCGATTTGACGAAATCGAAGAAACCGAGGAAATCAGAACAGTGGTCGCCCGTGCCGCTCGCGATAATGCGAGGATTGAGGAACGAATCGGAGCCTTTCAGATTGAGGAGAAATCGGAAGAATGCTTTTTCTGAAACGGCGCCTGTTGAGGAAAGGGTTGAAAAGTTTTATTGCTTCAAGAAATTTTCCGGAGAAAAAATAATTTTTTTTTTTTTATCAAAAAGTTCCCTTTCCAACCTTTAAAAAAGCCAACTCAAACTCGGAAAAGCATCGGCGACTCGTTTCTCGACAACACTGTTACCGTGACCAATCTTCCTTCCGAGAGAAACGCTGCTGATACGACAAATCCCGAGTACGAGACAATTGACCGCTCTTTAAATGTCACCGCTGGTACCTCCGAACAGCCTGAGCCTGCTTTCTCTGGCTCTTCTTCAGATGTTTCCTCCAGAAGAATGGCACGCAAGGACGATAAAGGCTCTTCAATTGCTGATGCTGTAAAAACCGCTTCAAATCAACGAGAAGAGGTAACGATTTGAAATCATGAAAAAGTACTCTAACTTCATTTTAGTCTGACGAGTCAAGCCGACCAGCTACGCGAGCAGCGTCAGTCCGAATAGCTTCGAGGGCAGCGTCAAGCCGAATTAGCCAAGCTATATCAAACCATATCAACCCGCCGAAAAGAACGAAGTGGACAGAAGTAAGCTTTTTATAAATGATTTAAATCTTTAATTGTTATAAATTTAGGACGAGGACGGCAAGCTGATAGAAGGCCTCAATCTATACGGAAAAAACTGGAAAAAGATCGAGGTAGAGTTTTTCCGAGGAACGACGAGGACGAACGTCAACCTCAAAGACAGACACCGTGTGCTTCTCAATAAAGACGACCATCGGGTGAAGGAAAAATACTAAACCCCTTTCCTTCTTCTTCACTGTATATAGTTCACATTTTCACCCATCACCTCACTTTTATACTCTTAATTCACTGCCTTTTTCGCCTTACTATGATTTTAAATTAATGTCTTTTCCATTTAGATTGAATCAGATTGAGAGCTCACTCGAACTGCCAAAAATTACATCAAGGATGAAAGAAGATATTCTTGAATTGGAAGAATCGAATCCAAAACGGCGAGCACGATCAATACTCAGTTTCAATACTCAGAATAATAACTGATAATCAAAGTCTTTAAAAATCTGCTGATGCAACTCCATGCAATAAGTTAATTACCGCTCTGCCCTGTGGGCTCTCGGACTTGCCTTGCTCTTTGCAGTTATCGGTGGATGCGACGCTTATTAGAAATATCCTCGAAAATGTCATTTTTGTCCACTCTATTTTTATTGAGATCATAAATAGCTAGTCAAGGTTGACGCATTTTTACAACGCGCTTTTTGGATTAATTTTCTTCGTATAAAAAGAGACATTTTTCTTTACTAAGAGATTGGATTCTTAAGAATGAGTAGAGGGACAGTCCTCGTCACTGGCGGAGCCGGATATATTGGAAGCCACACTGTCGTCGAGCTTCTCAAGGAAGGCTATCAATCATAGGCCTAGCCTATGATGCGGTCGTCGTGGATAACATGGGAAATGCTGTCTAAGGTGAGCTCAAAATAAAACTCATCGTTTTTCAAAAGTAAATCTTATAGAAAGCATGTTCTCAATTTTTAAGGCGACAACGGACCTAGCTCGACGTCAGGGATGCCGAAGAACTCGAAAAGGTAAGTTTCATCTTCGAACTTGTAAGAAACGACGATGATGTTTAGGTGTTCAAAGATCACAAGATCACGGCGGTTCTTCATTTCGCCGGACTCAAGTCTGTTAACGAATCGGTCTCGCAACCCCTCGAGTACTACAACAACAACATCTCGGGGACTTTAATTCTGCTTGAAATCATGATGAAGTATGGAGTCAAGCAGTTTGTCTTCTCCTGCTCCGCCACCGGTAAGCGCTTCCTTTTCAATCCTATTTCCAACCTTTATCAAGTCTACGGACCACCAGAACAAAACCCAGTCGATGAGCCGCATCGTGTCGGCTTCGGAATCACCAATCCCTATGGAAGAACAAAATACTTCATCGAAGAAATTCTCCGAGACGTCGTCATTGCTGATCCTGAATTGCGTTGCGCTGAAAATATCTCGAAGGTTCTCTATCCAAATGACAATTTCTTCGAAGGAAAAGAACTTCGTCTCAAGCAAGAGTATTTCGTTATCTGTGCTACGCTTCAGGACATTGTCAGGCGATACAAGAGCTCAAAGTTCGGATGCAGAGATTCTGTCAGAACTCAGGTATTCTTTTCTAATCGTACAAGGGCGTAAGGGTGTAAGGCGCTGAGGTTATGCATGCATAACCAGGTTATGCACTCTTAATAAAAATCATATTAATTGATATTTAACAGGTAGTTCAAGTGCGCTTCGCGAAAAGGACCTGTGCGTACACAAACCATACCGTTCTACCTGCTCTCGGCCAGTAAAGATGCTCGAGAATATGCTTCCTCGTCATTTGCAGATCATTTATCTGATCAACGCCCGTCATTTGAAGGACGTCGCAAAAGGTGAGTACAGTTTTATCCAGTATTGTCTCTAATACAGTGAATAAGCCTTCCCAAATGACTCATCGAAGCTTCGGGAGATGTCTCTGATCAAAGAGGACGGAGAAAAGCGAGTGAACATGGCATACCTCGCGATCGTTTGCTCACGCCGTCAATGGCGTTGCCGCCATCCACTCCCAGATCATCATCGACGATACCTTCAAAAACTTTTACGAGATGTCTTGCCGACTTGGGAATAAAGCTATGCATGTGCAAAGATGAACAGTTTTAGGCGAAACAAACAAGTGGCAAAACAAAACGAATGGCACAAAATTCTAGCAGACGTTGAGAAGTTTGAGTTCATGACAACAGTTCAAGTAAGAAAATTCTAGCACCAGAAGAATATTAACCAGCATGATTCTTAGGAGTACACGATCCCAATCTTTCTGCAAAACAAAGATGTGATGTGCGAAGCCGTCACCGGCTCTGGAAAGACGCTGGCCTTCCTTTGCCCGCGCTGCACAAAATGATCTCTTCCGGGGCAAAGGACAAGAACTCCTTCATCGTCATTTCTCCGACCAGAGAGCTCGCCAATCAAACTCACAAAGGTACTATTCTAATGCTGATTTACTCGTTTATCGGATATTTTCTAGTTTTGCTGCGATTTCTCGATGTTCTTGAAAAGTACACGGCGATGACCTGCATCGGCGGAGTAACAAAGATCCAGGAAGACATGGAAATGCTGGAAAAGTCGACTCCAGATGTGATCATCGCGACTCCGGGAAGAATGGACGATTTGATTAAACGATCCGATGTGCTCAAGGCGAAGCTGAAGACTGTGGAGATGTTGATTATCGACGAAGCGGACCAGGTTTTTGAACCCTTTCCTGCGAATTAACAAAGCCTTTTTTAAGATTTTGGACATTGGTTTCGAAAAAGCGATCAATTTCATTTCGTCAAATCTTCTAAAGCAGCGGCGAACCGGTCTTTTCTCCGCGACGCTGAACGAAAACGTCCTCCGTCTGAAAAAGGCTGGTCTGCGTCATCCCCACTCCGTCTCGGCCAAAGAAAAGCGCAAGAGAACCTGTCCACGCCTCAAGAACTCAAACTGCTCTTCTCAGTCGTGGAGCCGCGCCACAAACTCAGTTATCTCGTTTCGTTGTTGAAAAAGCGGCGAAAGTCGAAGAGCGTCGTTTATTTTCTCACTTCCGACCAGGTCGACTATTTCCACCAAGTTTTGAGGCAGCTGGTCAACTATCCAGTGATTAAGTGCCACGGAAAGAAGAACCAGAAATTGAGGTCGAAAGCGATCAAGGAATTTACCGACAGATCTGGCGGAGCTGTTCCAGGAAACTCGCTACAAAGTCATTTTCTTTGAGGTCACGTGACGTGATTTCGCTGACCAAAATGGTAGCAAAAGATGCTTTAGACGCTGTTCTTTCCGTCGATATACAGTTTTTCACTGTCATATGCTACAGTTTACCCGCCAGAGGGGTCAAAATCAAGAGGTACTAATAAGCGGAACCCTGAGTCAGGGTGCTGATAGAGCTGTCCAAAACTAACGTGCATCTGTATAAAACCCTGACTCAGGTTTCCACACAGGCTCCCGAGCCCTGAGCATCACTAACCGTTAATTAATAATGTTAAATCTCTGATGATTTCTGAATGTAGCGAATTGTAACAGTTACGACGGATCTGCTCTGCCGCGGCGTCGATATTTCCGGCGGCGTCGACTACGTCATCCAGTTCGATCCTCCAACCTTTGCTCCAAACTTTGTCCGCCGCGCTGGCAGAACCGCTCGCGCTGGAAAAAGCGGAGAAAACCTGGTCTTGGTGACTCCGTCGGAGCACGAGCAAAACTACCTCGAATTCAAACTCAACCAAAAAGTCGGCGACATGGTCGTGTTAAAAGAAGATTTCGAGATTTTGGAACTGGAGAAGGTCAGGGAGATCCAGTTGAAGGACTAGAGGAACTTTGAATACGCGCAGAGGGCGTTCCCGAGCTTTTTTTGTGCTTACAAAGGTAACTACTGTACTACGATAATGAAATACAGTAACAAATCTTTTCTACAGAGATTTCTTTCGATAACAAATCCATTAGGCGCTGCTCTGATTGGTCAGAAATGACTCTAATCGGAAATTTTCATTTTGACCAATCAGTAAGCTTGATGGATCAATTCATTATCAAAAGAAGTCGTTGTAGAAGATTTTCTTTTCTGAAATCGATTTCTAGCGCACGAGTGCAAATACATTTTCCGCGAAAAAGAGCTGATCAAAAGTATTAGTGATTATGCGCTCATGTTCGGTCTTTTGAAAATGCCAAAAATGGCCGAGCTGAAGAACAAGGAGTACACTGGCTTTACCAATAGCGACGTTGATACAGCATCTCAAACCACGTCCACCAATTTGAATATCTTTCCCATCACTTGTACGGCTCAAACTGCTTTCCGCTAATCGCCAAGTTTTTCAACCAGAACATGACGGTTTTCGTCACTCAAAGAAATCAAATTCCAAAGGTGGACTTGCGAAATGCTTTTCGAGGTAATTGACCGTTTTTCGACTTAAAAAAGACCAATTTCTAGGGCTGCCGATCATCCAAGCGCTGATAGAACGAGCAACTGAAGAGCAGATGCTCTACTGCTGGCGAAACATAATCCCTTCGATTTGTTTCTTGATAATTCTCGTGAAAATCATGAAAGAAAACGTCGTTCTCGATTCTCGGCGACGAGAGCAATTCGGAAACTTACTCCTCAATCGCCTGGGAAAAGCCAATCAATCGCCAATCCGATGGAGCAGAACTTATGGAACCACTTCATTTTTAAAGAGTTTGAGGACAGGGGAAGTTGAGCGAATCTGCCGAGAATCGAATTGCTACGAGCCTGAAAAAGTCAAGAACTTCTTGAAAGAGCAGAAAATGTGGGACCAACTTCCTTTGATAATCGTCTGCGATCGATTCGACTTTGTCCACGACTCGGCTCTCCATCTTTACAGAAATAATCTCCAGAAATACATCGAGATCTACGTCCAGAAAATTAACTCATCTCGACTCCCTCAGGTCATTGGTGGGCTTTTGGATGGCGACTGCGAGTCAGATGTGATCAAGAGCCTTATCATGGTTGTCCTAGGTCAGTTCTCTACTGATGACCTTGTTCGAGTAGCGAAACCGATTGAAGCTCCTTCTCCCGTGGCGAGAGTCGCGAATAGCTGAAGACTGCCAAGAACCCGCCAAGATCTTGCTTTGGCCAAGGTCTACATTGATGCCAACAACCCTTAGCGATTCCTTCGGGAGAATCCGCTGTTGTCGGTAAATACTGCGAAAATCAAGATCCTCATCTCGCATGTATTGTGTACGAGCGTGGAATGTGCGACGATGAACTCATCAAGGTCTGCAACGAAAACTCATTGTTCAAGAACGAAGCGCGATACCTTGTCCAAGAAAAGACTCCGAGATATGGGCTTAGGTTCTTGTTGACGATAACCCACACAGACGATCTGTCATCGATCAAGTTGTCCAGACCGCTCAGAGGATCCTGATGGCATCTCTGAGGCTATCAAGATTTTCATGGAAGCTGACTTACCAAACGAGTTGATCGAGCTTTTGGAAAAGGTCGTTCTCGAGAACTCCGTCTTCTCCGATCATCGAAACTTGCAGAACTTGCTCATCCTCACTGCAGTCAAGGCTGATACTACCCGCGTCATGAACTATATCTCTCGACTTGACAACTATGATGCTCCAGACATTGCTGAAATCTGCATCAACAATGAGCTCTACGAAGAAGCATTCGCCATCTTCAAGAAGTTCGACGCCACGACTTCTGCTATGGAAGTCTTGATCAACAACGCCAAGAATCTCGATCGATCGATTCCTTCTCTAGTTCTTATTTTGAAACTAGATTAAAGATAAAATCTTTCAACCTCCCTAATTTGATTGTAAAGGAGTCTAACTGTCGATTCAGATCCGAGAAGCTTACCTTGAAACGGAGCTCTGCTAATCGTTTGCCAAGACGAACAGACTCGCTGAGCTTAAAGAGATGTACCAGGCTGTCAAGGTCCTCTACGCCAGCATTTCCAACTTCTACTCTCCTCAAACTTGGCGGGTGTCAGGCTACTGTCGAAGCTACAAAGAAGGCCAATTCAACCCAAACATTGAAGGAAGTCTGCTTTTCTTGCGTCGAAAACGATGAGTTCCGACTTGCTCAACTCTGTGGCCTCAACATCGTTGTCCATGCTGACGAACTCGACGATCTTATGAGCTATTATCAGGATCGTGGATTTTTTGAGGAACTCATCACTATGCTCGAAGGCGCCCTTGGCCTCGAAAGCGCTCACATGGGCATTTTTACAGAGCTCGCTATTCTTTACTCGAAGTACAAGCCTGAGATGATGAAGGAAAACCTCGAGCACTTTTGGTCTCGTGTCAATCTTCCAAATGTCCTCCGAGCTGCCGAGACTACTCACTTGTGGGCCGACCTTTTCTCCCTTTAGGATAAGTACGAGGAGTACGACGACGCCATCTTGACAATGATGAAGCACCCAACTGTCGCCTGTAAAGAGGGACTCTTCAAGGACATCATCAAAAAGGTCGGCAACATCGAGCTTTACTACAAGGCTCTCGAGTTCTACATCGACTTCAAAACTCTTCTTATCAACGACTTGCTCAATGCTCTTAGCCCACGAATCGACCACACCCGAACTGTTACCAATGTTATTGGCCTTGCTCTTCGACTTAAAAAGGTCTAACTCCTCGAATTCAGACGTATTGCTGCTTATCTTTACAAGAAGAACAACAGGTTGGTTTCTTTTTAGTAAACATTTCTTACCGATATTTCTGTAGATAGGCAATCTGTCGAGCTTTGCAAGAAGGACGATCTTTTCAAAGAGGCAATGGAGTACGCTGCCGAAAGCCGTGATACCCAACTTGTGGAAGAACTTGCGAACTGGTCCCTCAAAAAAGAACCTATTTTTTGCAATGGACACGCTGTGCAATTACTCAACATCTTACAGCAGCTTCTCTTAGTTCAAAGACGAATTCTTTTCTAGTTATTTATTATTCCAAATAAACCTGTGAAATAAACAAGTTCCAAAGACAAACATTATTCCAAAAAAATACATCACTCTGATTTTAGAAAAATGTCGCATTTTATGGGCGATTTCATGAAATCGTCCGAGAGTTAAACTAACCCTTACTTCAACGATGGTGGCACTGGAATGCCTCCGACCGAGGAGGAGATGATGGAGAAACAAAGAAAACCAGAGAAGAAGAAGCAGGAGATTAGCTATGGAGACGATGTGGAAGCGATGTGGGCGGAGTGAGAGGCAGAAGTTGAGCCTGAAAGTAGGCCTAAGAAAAGATCCAAGCATGAGGGCAAATGTAAGTCACTCTTATTGGAGTATAATTATACTGTTTAAATTATACCTACTATATAATTTATACTGTATAATCTATCTAATATTTAGCTGCTGCTGAAATCAAAGAAATCAGAAACAAACTCACTGGAAAGCTGATGCGTGCCGATCTCAAAGGCAACAAAGAAAAAACTGCGAAAATTTAAAAAGAAATCGACGAATTACCAGATGAAAACACAATCGTCGTTCAAAAATACGATGCCCGTGGTCGAATCCGTCCAAGTAACCAGAAACGCGAATCTGATATTTCTGCTCTTCTTCGTGATGAAAAGAATGACGATGGAGGAATGGGTTAGTTTAATGATAGTCTTCCATGTCTTCAAGGTCTTTTTTTAGCTTCGGATATGGCGCTGAAGAAGAACTCTTCGACGGCACAAAGACAAGAGGGAAAAAAGAGAAGCCTCATGCAGAAGAAGACCGTGAACGAGCAAAGAGCAGGATGATTCATAGAAGCCTCGAAAACTGTCGGTTTTGCTATTCGAATAAGGTAGAGAGTGAACGCAATTGAAAGCAAGAATTGACGTATTCTTAGAAACTCCGCGACTCAATTTGCTGGGTTGGCCAACACGTGTACCTTGCTCTTACAGGCTCTGAACCGATGGCAGAAGGCCACTGCATCATCGTTACAAAAGAACACTATCGAAATCTGCCGTCATGCGATGAGGATGTCGCACGCGAGATCCTCAACCTGCGAAGAATGCTTACTGGGTATTTCAAAGCAAAGAACGATACAGAATTTTCCAACGATTTTTCCAGCAACTGGCTTATGCGCCGCCGAGTCTGCGATTTATCGCTGCTATGCCGTCTGATGCACACGAGAAGAAATTCGTTACGCACCCGGTAAGTTTTTAGACAGATAGAAAGTCCCGTGGTTTGTCTTTTGGACGCGCCGTTAAAAGTTTTATGTTTTTCTTGAATACGCGATTTTGAATCGATGAATCTGGGTTTACGACGTATTCTGATCAATTACTACTCGACTGACCTTATTCTTTCCAGGGAGATCTAATCGTCACAGCTACCGATGGTCTGTTCGACAACGTCCCCGACGAAGTGCTTCTCCAGGAACTCTCGTATCTTCCCCACGCCGATCAAATCCACACTCAAGGTCTGCCTCCTCCTTCCTCTTTCAACCCTTTAACTCCGCTTCTTCAGATCTGGAGCGCACGGCAAAGTGCCTGGCCTCGCGCGCGCACAAGAACGCGCTCAACAAGTCGTACGTTTCTCCCTCCGCGCTCGCCGCCAAAAGCGCTGGCTTCCACTACACCGGCGGCAAAATGGACGACGTAACGGTCATCGTATCCGTTGTGTCTGACCTCGGCACTGAAGTGTAGCTTTTTAGCTTTTCTTTTCTTTTTTCTAAAACTTCCGTCTAAAAATTCATGATTCAAAATGCTCTCTTCGCCTTTCTCTCTCGTCTTTGTTTATTCTCTTTCTATCAACATATTCTTCTCTACTGAAATTTCCAAGGCCTACTTTTGACTTCATTTAAATTGAAGAACTAATGATGAACAAACGGGTTTCTGACCCCTTTTTTGAGGTGTTCAACTTTGCCTTTTCTTGGTCCTTGAAGATCAAGCTGTCAATTCTTCAGCATTTATTTATTTAGGATGTTTTTAAAATGAAACAGTTTTGGCCTTCTTTTCTGGTGCCAAAATGACTTTACTCCTTTCTCCTTCGAGAAAGAAAAAATACTCTCATTTCAAAATTGAAAACTCTCCCAAAACAACATATTCTCTTTTACCTCGTTGCTTGTGCTACTATCAAACCATATTTTTCCCAAGTCAAGTCCCGCGGAGAACAAACTCTAGCGACATCTGAACGAGAAAACGGTTCGGATCAGGAGTTTCCCGCGGCCGCTTGATTTCGGAATGAAGTGAAACTTGAGTGGTTACGAATTTAACTTATTTATTTGTATAAAGGAATACACTATTCGAAAATTGAAAGCTTTATCTGTTCTTTGCTGTTGTAGTAACAGCAGCTTGTTTATTTTGACGCATTTTTATAGCACAATTTTTGAAGCACTGCAGTTTGAAAATTATTCTAGAGCTCGTCATGATGAAGTAGGGAGCTTCCTCAGTGCGTAGCAGGCGATTCAGTCAAGGCATCATAAGCTTTTGCCCGTTTTTCTTCTTGATAAACCGTCTCTATCGAGAAGATCGAGCAGGGCAAAAATATCATTTTGCAGCAATTCAACGACAAACTGTATTTTTCAAACTTCCCGTCTCTTTGACATTCGAGGACCATCGTCCACTTTTCTAACCTTCTATTTTTGTAGAGCCGTCAAGACAAAACTCTTAATTCTTCTTTGATACTGAAAAAACAATCAAAAAAAGCATGTCTGATATTTAGAAAAGAATGAAATGAGCGGAATCGAGTATTCAGAAATTCTGGATCGCTCGAACGCATGGCTCGCGGGAAATAAGCGAAGGTACTGAGGACCAAGGATTAGTGTAACTAATGAACTGTCTAGTGAAGGAAGTGTTCTTCATCAGCAACATTCTGCAATTCGAAATGATCCACTTCATCGGCCAGCTGCAGTACTACATTCACTTCGAAATCAGCGAGACATCTTGGGCAGTCTTCGCCGAAAAGGTAAGTCCTTCTTGGTCGCACCAAACCGGATCATTTGCAGGTCGAGATTTAGCAAATGACCTGAATGAAGTGATCATCGCGCACAATGCCTTCCTCAACGAGCTGGAACAGGGCTAACTGCTCGCGGACTCTCTCTGGGACAAGATAAAATCACTCAGAATTGCGAACATCTTTTGCCTCCATTGCCAAATCAAGTGCCTTTTCCGAGGATGATGAGCTGCTAGAGAAAGAACGCAGAAACTCCTTCAAGAACGAAATGTTCAAGCACAAGGTAAAAAAGAGATTCAATTCAAAATGTAACGATTTCCCAGTGTTCGGTGACCACCTGCCGGACGACTTACCAGAAAATCCTCCCAGCCAGTCCTTTCTCTTCATGTGTCCACACGCGGCGATGCTGCTCAAAAGAAGAATTCAGAAGTGCCCCTACAGTGTTGACAAGTACAGTTACACTCGAAAAGCTGAAAGTTTAATCTAGTTTCTTAGGCAATTAGCGCCCCTGACGAATATTTTGATGAACCTCTCAGTTTCGCAGCTGCAGGAAACGCTGCTGGAAAAGTGACGCAATGGGAAATCTCTGGAAAGGACATCTTCGACCTCGATTACGATATCGACGATTCCATCGAGGTAAAAACGGCTGTTTTTCAGTGGTCATCAATTTGATCGTTTTAGTGTATTCCAGACGTAACGATGGACAACGAGTCGGGAATGCACGAGCACTGGATGTTCTTGAACAAAGAAGTCACCGTTTCCAGCGAAAAACAAATCGGCCAAAACCCGAAGTCGTTTATTTGTTCAAAGATATGGTGGATTTCTGGTGAGTCCAATCGAATCTATTGACAGGACCCCTAACGCTTCTGACTAGTGACACGGCGAACGATGAAATGATGAAGGTGTCGCATAGTTTGTACGCGGCGCTGCTCATTCACGAGCCCCTCCACTCTTTGGTGGAGCAATTCGAGCGCCTCTTTCCCGAACTGCGCCTTTCCGGCTTCCGAGAGAAGCTCGAGCCCAGATGCGCGTCACTCTTCGCAGCAGAGAGCATTTCGCTGACGATGATCGAAGTTGTCGACTCGTTGCTGTCTGCCGCCTTTCCCAGCGTGGAACTGTTCTTTTCCTTCCTCATTCCATTGCTGCCTGCCTCTAACCTGTTACGACCTCATGCGACCCGACGTTGTTCTCGAGCAATCGTGGGGAAACGGAATCCAGGACTTTGCCATGCCTTACTTTATCTAGGTAACAAATGATGATGATTTTTATGCTTATCTTGAATAAGCCGAAGAGCCCGAGCAGCCGATGATCATGGCGCCTCAACTCATGTTGGCGAACTCTGCACATATGCCCGGCATGGCAGGAGCACCGGTAGAAGTCCTTCTCAAGTTTTATTTTTGATAAACTTTTCAGAATCCATTCGGTCAACCTGAGATTGGGTTGCCTGCCAAACTAATTCGGTGGAATGCCTGGACAATTCAAAGCTTTTTCTCAACTGATTCTTTCTTTCTACTTTTTGATTCGTCCATGTCTAAACGATCATTTTTTATCTGATCGAGAGACTGCGATCAAGGCGAGTCGGAGCATCATTTGAAAATACTCATTTTTCGAGAATCGAGTAGAGAAAGGATCCCATATTTTTTGTTCAGACAGTGCGCTATCGGATTGAGAATGAAACGAAAAGAGAGTGATGAATCCCCTTCGTCTGGCCGATCTGGACGAAAAGAGAGTGATGAATCCCCTTCGTCTGGCCGATCTGGAAGAATCAAGCAGCCAGTGAGCGCAGCATCTGTCAAAACTTCTCAAAAAGATTGTAAGTGGAAATGTTTGGTGTAATTTTAAACAACTGAAACTAGCACAAGGATCGAAAAATGAGCCCGCTCGAACGAGATCTTCACAAATTCATGTTCATCTAACCCCAGAAAAATCACAGGCGACCACGCAAGAGAGCTTGGAAGATTCTCAAAGACTATCTCAACTGAGCCGTTACGAGATGATGGAACGAGCTGCTGAGTTTTCGCAGCCTTCGCCCTACTTCAAATCGCCGGAGAAGACTTCTAACAACTCGAAGCTGGCCTCAGATCTTGATCCCGACCAACCAAGTAAGCGATCAAATAAATATTGAAAATAAACTCGAATTATAGCGCCGATAAGCGACGATCCCCTGGAAGGAATTGAAAAATTGACCCAAGCTGCTCTTGCGTCTTCTCAATCGTCTGAGAATACTCTGCGATCCGAAGAAGGGATCGCTGGAATTTCCGTATCATTCAGTGGTGAACTATTCAATGATGAAGTGCCTTCGGATCCAGAGATCTCCCTCTCCGTCAGCGGAGAACTTTTCGATGATGAGCTGCAGCCAATGGATACTACGCAGATTTCCCAGCAAGAAGAAGACGAAGGGAACTCTTCTCAAGGATCCTCCGTCTACGAAACGCCTGAAAAGAGTCTACCAAAAACGCCCAGTAAGACTGATCAATCAGCACCCGCTTCACCTCCACAGCCCCCGAGAAAGCTTCGTCGAAGCCTCTTCAATGAAAATCAGGAAGAACCGATGGATACCCCGGAGATAATCATGGCGTCCTCGGGAGATACGACAGGGAGATCGAAAAAGGTCGAAATGAAAGATTCCTGGTCACAGGTTTCTGGAGAGACGCTACGAGAGACTGAAGGGAGAAAAAGAAGGACTCACGATGTGCAGAACTTATGCGCCGAAGAGTCTCAAGGAGAGAGGAACCAGACTCAGCGAGTGGGCGATCTTCTAAACCACTCAGCGCTTGTTCTCGACTCACAACAGTCAGCACAAACAACTCAAGCTCAACATGAGTCAACATCGGCAACTCAAATCCAACCTCGACAAAAGTCACAAGGGACTAACAAAATATATTTCCCGCCTCCCACTTCTTCAACCTTGAAGCAAGCCTCAGCGACACAGAAGACTTTCGACGAGGATTTAGATGACGATTACTTTGCGAAGCTCAAATCGCCGACGAGGAATGCTGATATAAAGAAAATTAACAAGCAAGCAGATCAGGCTAAACAGCAAAAAAGGGTTAATAGAAGAATGCCGCGATCGAGAGCAAAACCAACTCGTGACGAGGTGAAAAAATCGGTGGCTGAAGCCTGTCGCAAAGCACAAGCTGGCGGAATTAGTCGACGTCTGGAACTCGCGAGGGCTTTTATTTCAAGAAGAAACCGAGCACGAGATTCGAGCGATCCCTTGAATCGAGAACTCGAAAATGCGACTTCTTGGGAGCCAAAAGTACCGAATGCGAATTTTTCTCAAAAAAGAGTTAACAGAAAAATGCCGAGATCGACAGCAAAACCAACGCGTGATGAGGTCAAAGAATCGGTGGCTAAAGCCTGTCGAAAATTACAAGCTGGCAGTATAAAACAACGTCTGGAATTCGCTAGAGCATTTATTTTGAGAAGAAAGCGAGATCCGAACGATCCCTTGGAACGAGAACTTGAAAAAGCGACTTCTTGGGAGCCAAAAGTACCGAAGGTGAATTTTTCGAAGCCCGTTCCAGGATCATCAAGCCGTTTCAAAAAGCGTCTTCCAGTAGCGGAAAAGCTTGCTAAAGAAAAACCGACCCCTTCGAAATCTAAAGCTTCAAAATCCCTAACCAAAGAATTGAGTGCGAAACCGAAGGGAAAGAGGAATGACGAAGCGGAGAATCAACCAACGTGCAGCAAGAATTTAACACCTCCAGCGATGCCACAAGATGTTGATCTTTCTAGCTTCTTGGACTCGAGCGAGGATGAGGAAGTTCGTCGAGAAGTTTCGCGAGAAGAATGTGATGAAAAAACAATCATCATCAAAGATGCAAAGAACATTCAGGGCCGCATTGGGTTCAGGCTTAACGAATCGAGCGAAGCAGGAATCTACATCAACGGGATTATCCCGGGGTCGGCAGCAGATAAAGCTGGGCTTCGTGTTGGAGATACTCTAATTTGCTTCAACGGTGTGAAATGCTCCGTCAAGAGCAAAATCAAGCTGTCTATGCTGCGAATAGTCATTGCCGAAACGGCAACGGAAGACTTCGAATTCAAAGTTATTCGCGATGTGTCCGACCAGTATTCGCAGGAAGAAAACGTTGACACATCGGAAGTTTCAGACATTCCAGATGCAGAGCCTGCAAAAGAAAAACCGGGACCATCGAAATCTAAATCTTCGGAATCGCAAAGTCAGGAACGCTCGCAGCCACGAGAAGAGCAGGAGTCAGCTCATAACTGGTCGCAGCAAGTTCTGTTCGATGAATCTCCGGAGGATCGACAAGCTCTATCGCCTGAATATGATCAGTCCCCACCCGCGCCAATTGACAGAGAGGACGTTCGCGAATCTATGTTTCCCACCTCAAAGAAGAGAAAGCTTCAGACTCCTGAAAAGGACGCGCAGGGCGAAGCAAGCGCTAAAGTTCAAGCAGCGAAAAGGAGCAAGCACGAGAAGGAAAATATAACGCCTAAGAAAAGCGCTTCAAAGCCGACGACTCTTACGCCAGCTGTGGATAACACCAATGTTCGTCGTCCAGGAAGAGATGCCCTGAGCGAGATTTCGGACTTGTCTTCTGCATTTGATAATGACAGTCCAATTAGAGGCGTCGGAAAGATGAAGCAAAGTCAAAAGAAAGCTACCAAAGAAAAGAGTGCGAAACTGAGGCATGACGAACCAACGTGCAGCAAGAATTTAACACCTCCAGCGATGCCACCAGATGCTGATCTTTCTAGCTTCTTGGACTCGAGCGAGGATGAGGAAGTTCCTCGACCGCAAAGTCGTCCTCGGAGAAGTAATAGATCGCCAACAGCTAGCATGCCGAAGCTCACCAAATCACGATCACCAGAGAAGTCACCATCGCCATCTAAATCAAAAAAGAAGCCGATTTCGATGAAGAAAAATGCTGTAAAAACCAGACGACGGAATCCGAGGCCAGAATCTATTGCTTCGAATCAACGAGAAGAGGTAACGATTTGTAATCATGAAAAAGTACTCTAACTTCACTTTAGTCTGACGAGTCAAGCCGACCAGCTACGCGGGCAGCGTCAAGCCGAAAAGCTTCGCGGGCAGCATCAAGCCAAATTACAAAAATTTGTGCGAATAAAGAATTTGCCCCAGTCGTGCAGGACTCAAAAAGAAAGAATTGGACAGATGTAAGCTCTTTATAAATGATTTATATCTTTAATTGTTATAAATTTAGGACGAGGACGCCAAGCTGATTGAGGGCCTCAATCAATACGGAAAAGACTGGAAAACGATCGAGAAAAAGTTTTTCCGTAGATCGAAGAGGACCAACGTCCAACTCAAAGACAGACACCGTGTGCTTCTCGATAAAGGCGACCCACGGGTGAAGGAAAAATACTAAACCCCTTTCCTTCTTCTTCACTGTATATAATTCACCTTTTGACTTATCACCTCACTTTTAAACTCTTTATTCACTGCCTTTGTCGCCTTACTATGATTATAAATTAACGTTTTTTCGATTTTAGGTTGAATCAGATTGAGAGCGCACTCGAGCTGCCAAAAATTACATCAAGGATGAAAGAAGATATTCTTGAATTGGAAGAATCGAATCCAAAATGGCGAGCACGATCACAACTCCTATAACGGCGAAAATGGCGAAAACTACGAAAACAAGACGAAGCAGAACAAAAGCGTCAAAATGGTCAAGGGGCGCAATACTGTCGACTTCAAGCCGAGCTACAGGCCGCCAGATCTCCGATTGGTCCTAGAATCCGTTCCTGAAACCACTCTCAGTGCCAAACACAGAGCCATCATAGAAAAGTCCCTTGACGAACCAGTCACAACGACACCTCCTAAGTCAAAAACAAAGTCAGCTGGTCCTAAATCGCCGAAGAAAAGCGGCGCTATCTGCGGAAAAGCCGAGAGCTCGTCTTGCTTCCTCCTCCGATTACCTACCTACATTATGTATTTCCTTCTCTTCACAAGTCTAAGCTCACAGTTTGAGTGTACTCGGCCTATTTATAATCAACACTTCAAGGTAAGGTCGCTGATTTCTCAGTGAAAAACAATCTTTTGCAGCATTATTACGACGTCTACGTCATTCCAAAATACAACGAATACGTCGACCCACATGTACAAGAATTCGTCATCCCTGCGTATAAACAATACGGAGAGCCACAAATTGCTCAGCTCCAGAAGCTCTACGCTGCGCACGGCCAACCTCAACTTGAAAAGCTAATAAAGCTCTACGATGCTCATTTGAAAGACCACGTCGATAAAACGATCACGAGTCTGAATGAGCAAGTCCAAACTCATGTCGTGCCAACTGTCCAAAATGTTCAAAAGGAACTCGAGCCATTTTTCAACAACGCTGTCAAAAATGGAACAGTCTTGGTCAAGCAACTTCGAGAACAAGTAAAATCAGCAGAAAAGGCTATTTTTAACCTTTACTAGGCTAATGTTCTCGCTGAAAACTGGGGTGTAGTTTGCGAACAAGGAATCGCTGACATGCGAGTTCAAATCGACAAGTACAGTGCTCTTGCTCGTGATGAGACGCTCAAGGGACTCGCTAAAGTTCAACGCGCTAGTAAAGAATACGCTAATGCCGCTCTCGTCAATACCGGTCAGTTCTCTTCTTATACTCTTTTCTTATTGAAATCATAGAGGAGTATCGACAACAAGCATCCGTCAAGTTTGCTGAAGTCCAATCTATTGTATATGAAAGAGTTGAAACAACTATTGCTATCATCCAAAAACAGCTTCCAATCATTCACGAGTTCCTGCTCGAGTACAACATCGACAAGATCTTCTCTAACATCTTCGAGGGTATCGGTCGATCAATTGTCTGGACAGGAGATCTCATTGGAAAAGTCGCTGCTGGCAGATTCTGCTGCGCCCAGGTTTACCAGCTGATTTTCTCCCTCGTTTTAAGCTATTTCTAGAGCCAAATCGCCCGACTTGGAAACGACATCTACGAGTTCGGGCTTCTTGCATACAAGCAAGTTCAAAATCTTATCCAAAATTAGTTAGATTTTTTCTGAATTTATTTAAAATTGAAAACTGCTGTCCATTTACCATTTAGTGCAATACCTACTGTGAATTCAACTTGATTCTATTACTACTAGCTAAAGCAAAACCTTACTGTCGCAAGTTCATTTCTGTAGTTCAATTAAACAAAAAAAGCGACCGCTTGAAAATCCCGCTAAATTTCTATGTGTTCAAGTGTATGAAAACATCCATTCAGCGAAGTCAAAAAAATGTCGGACCATGAATCTGATAAGGAGGAACTGCCAGGACTTGGAAAAAGAGATCTTGTAGAAAGGTGTGTTAGGCAGTAAATAAAGTATTCATATAGGCACTTTCTAGCGCTGAGCCTCCAGTGAAAAAGCGTCGAAAGAAGAAGAAGCGAGGGCGGGTCCTTACAGTGGACGATATGCCGCGAAAAGTTCGGGAGGAATTCCGAACCGATCAAAAAGCTGAAAAATTCTTGCGCCTTCTGGGTGGCCTCAAGCCCGAAAACGTACACGCAAATCTTACCTGGATGCGACGATGCAAAACTGGTAAATTTGCGGAGATGATGGAGTCTGAGCTTTGGGATCATTTCCTTTCCTGCTTTCATCGAAATTACATGTTTGGCAGAAAAGGTGGTTTCGGATTTGAGAAAAACTGCCATCGAAGGACCAGCTTGCCTGGCTCGAAATGAAGCAGTGGGAACAAGACTCCGATGACGAAGAGTTGCTCGAACTCCCTAGCGGCTGGATGGAGCGCGACGAAGAGCCTGAGGAGTACATGAAGGTCACCAATGGACGAGTCGAGTTTAGCGGCAAAACGTATATCAAAGTGTCAGTGATGTACGGAGGCGGTTCTCAGCTGGACCCGAGAGACGCGATTTGCGATCCAACGCCCATGTCCGAAATTGAAGCCCAAATCGCCGCAGAAGAAGCTGAAGATACTGACGATGATCTTAAAAATCCAGATCAGCCAAAAGTAAGGCTTTCTTTGATTCCATTCTCAAGCATTTAAAGCCTATGCCAATGACCGCCGAAGAACAAGAAGCGGCTCGTCTCGCAAAACAGGCGAAACTCGAAGAAGAAATCCGCGAAAAAGAAGAAGAAATTACCACTGCCAAGCTCGCCGCGGAAACGATGTATCGAGGAATGGGTGTCGAGCCTGGCGAGGAAAATTCACGATCCCGACGACGTCAGGAAATCCACTGGGACTACGATCACAAGGTAAAATCAAGATTTAAAATTACTCTAATCTCTGTACTCAGGCGGAACCGGATCTGAAAGTGGGATCTGGCGGCGTTAATAAATTCATATCGGACTCGTATGGATATGGAGGTTACCGTGAATCTGAAATGGCACGTGATCAGTGGAAAGATCTATCTTACGATCAGACGCATGGGCAGGGGGCCAGCAAATACAGAAAATCAGCCTACGATAATTGGGATCAAGACTTCGAGCAAAAATACGTAAGAAATCACAATCCCTCTTCGTTTTATTCAGAAATGATTCTAGAAATGGGAGGATTTCGCAACCAAATGGGCGATCAAACGAAAAGAAATGAAATTCTACAACAGGTTTATTTTTCTTTTCCAAAAATCTTACTCAAGATCATTCAGACAACACCACAAATACGAGGACATCACAGACACCCGAAAACAGTTCCTCGAAAAAGAGGATAAGAGATTCAACGAAAAACGAGTCCAAGCTGACGTTTCTTACTGGGCACAAGCAGCTGCTCAGGCCTCAATGGCCGTCCTCGCAGGAAGCAAAGATGGCAAAATCGATCTCCAGAATGCACCGTGGATGAAACAGCCTGCCCCTGCCCCCTCCAATGAGGATCCAAGAAAAAGATGTCGTATTAACTTTTCCCACAAGAAATTGTCTGTATTCCCTGTTCACAAATCCACTACCTTCAAAATTTAACGGTCTATTGAAAATATCCAAACTTGATTATCAAAGAATGACAACAGAAGTCGAAAATGGTCAGGAAGCAACGCCTGAGAAGACAGATTCTTCAGTTACCGCGCTGCCAATAGAAAAGAAAGAGGAAGGACCCGACGAAGGTAAAATTGCACTTTTTTGAGTTCCGTCTAATTGCTTTCAGAGGAGTCAGAAGCAGAAGAAATCGACTCAGACGATGATTTGGACGACGATGTAAATATAATGATCGGAGATATCGACGGCGAAGCTGTTATAAACATAAACCCAGTACGTTCTCTTCCTTGATTTCCGACACTATACTGATTTTTCCAGAAAGATGCAAACAGCGAAGACAAAAAGACAAGACGCCTCAGCAAGCAGAAGTGCTCATTACTTCTTCAAGCGGAAAATTGATCCCAAATCCTGAAAAAGATGCACTCACGGATAAGCCGTGGCAGAAGCCTGGCGCTGACTTATCAGATTATTTTAATTACGGGTATATAAAATATATACTCTCAATCCATTCATAATTTATTCATTCAGATTTGAAGAAACCTCATGGAGAAAGTACTCGGAGAAGCAGAGAACGCTCAGAGATCGAGCTTTGCTCCTACTGCGGACAAGGACGAACATCGCTCAATTTGCGCCACCTGGAATGCCATTCCTTCCAATGGGACCATCGCCTATCAAATCTGAAAACTTCAACAGATCTAACCCGCCTCCAGTTATCAGCTCCAACGGCAGTGTACCAGTAAGTGCCAGCATGGGCGACCGCAGAGGACCACCAGGTAGGCAGTACACCAGGAAGCAAGCAAATTAACGTCATAATTCTAGATATCAAATAAGACAATGACAGTGGCCCACCGCCGCACCTCATGCCTAGGCTTACCGCGGTGTTTTTCGATTTTCAAGGTTCCTTTGAAAAATCTCCCCATACTTTCAGAACCTATGCATCAAGACAAGCCTTGAAAAACTGCACTTGCAGAATTTTCGATATGAGTCATCTTACCTCTTTTTTTGGGGGATTTTTAGCAAGAAAAAAAGCACTAGTTTGATTAGAAGCGGCTTTTGAGTGCGTGCTAGATCGATTTTGATTATTTGATGCCTACCATGTGAAAGATAAGCGCAAGACGCATCGATACATATGAAATTGCGGAGTGCTTCCTTCATATGATTCTAGAGCTTCAAAGTTGACGCAAGCAGCCAGATACGAAAATCCAATATTATCAACTTCTGATATAAGCATGCTATGATGATGTTTTATAGCTCAAATTGAAGCTTATGAATTACTGAACAAAATGAAATGGTATTTTTTGACCAGCCGGTTGTGCTTCCGGTTCGTCGCGGTTCATGCCCGGAAATAGGTCAAATTGTAGAAATATGTATATCAAATGAATTCATTTTCAACAGTAAATCTTTTAAACATATTCAGAAGTTCAACCAACCGGTTATTCTTGCGGTTCATGGTGGTTCATGGTGGTTCAAGCGCAGAAATGAACAAACCGTTTACACAATCCAGTCTGCGACGGGGCCAAGCCGATCCAAAGGGGAGGCAAGGCCCGTTTACACAATCCAGTCTGCGACGGGGCCAAGCCGATCCAAAGGGGAGGCAAGGCCCGTTTACACAATCCAGTCTGCGACGGGGCAAAGCCAACCCGAAGGGGAGGCCAGGCCCGTTTACACAATTCTGTAAACGCCCGGCTTGGCCCCGGTTTCTGCCGGTTTGTCATTAGGGTTACGAATTTGGATAAGGTTCAAGATAGTTTGAGAGTGTTTTAGGCCGGTTTCTGCCGGTTTGTCATTAGGGTTACGAATTTGGATAAGGTTCAAGATAGTTTGAGAGTGTTTTAGGCCGGTTTCTGCCGGTTTGTCATTAGGGTTACGAATTTGGATAAGGTTCAAGATAGTTTGAGAGTGTTTTAGGCCGGTTTCTGCCGGTTTGTCATTAGGGTTACGAATTTGGATAAGGTTCAAGATAGTTTGAGAGTGTTTTAGGCCGGTTTCTGCCGGTTTGTCATTAGGGTTACGAATTTGGATAAGGTTCAAGATAGTTTGAGAGTGTTTTAGGCCGGTTTCTGCCGGTTTGTCATTAGGGTTACGAATTTGGATAAGGTTCAAGATAGTTTGAGAGTGTTTTAGGCCGGTTTCTGCCGGTTTGTCATTAGGGTTACGAATTTGGATAAGGTTCAAGATAGTTTGAGAGTGTTTTAGGCCGGTTTCTGCCGGTTTGTCATTAGGGTTACGAATTTGGATAAGGTTCAAGATAGTTTGAGAGTGTTTTAGGCCGGTTTCTGCCGGTTTGTCATTAGGGTTACGAATTTGGATAAGGTTCAAGATAGTTTGAGAGTGTTTTAGGCCGGTTTCTGCCGGTTTGTCATTAGGGTTACGAATTTGGATAAGGTTCAAGATAGTTTGAGAGTGTTTTAGGCCGGTTTCTGCCGGTTTGTCATTAGGGTTACGAATTTGGATAAGGTTCAAGATAGTTTGAGAGTGTTTTAGGCCGGTTTCTGCCGGTTTGTCATTAGGGTTACGAATTTGGATAAGGTTCAAGATAGTTTGAGAGTGTTTTAGGCCGGTTTCTGCCGGTTTGTCATTAGGGTTACGAATTTGGATAAGGTTCAAGATAGTTTGAGAGTGTTTTAGGCCGGTTTCTGCCGGTTTGTCATTAGGGTTACGAATTTGGATAAGGTTCAAGATAGTTTGAGAGTGTTTTAGGCCGGTTTCTGCCGGTTTGTCATTAGGGTTACGAATTTGGATAAGGTTCAAGATAGTTTGAGAGTGTTTTAGGCCGGTTTCTGCCGGTTTGTCATTAGGGTTACGAATTTGGATAAGGTTCAAGATAGTTTGAGAGTGTTTTAGGCCGGTTTCTGCCGGTTTGTCATTAGGGTTACGAATTTGGATAAGGTTCAAGATAGTTTGAGAGTGTTTTAGGCCGGTTTCTGCCGGTTTGTCATTAGGGTTACGAATTTGGATAAGGTTCAAGATAGTTTGAGAGTGTTTTAGGCCGGTTTCTGCCGGTTTGTCATTAGGGTTACGAATTTGGATAAGGTTCAAGATAGTTTGAGAGTGTTTTAGGCCGGTTTCTGCCGGTTTGTCATTAGGGTTACGAATTTGGATAAGGTTCAAGATAGTTTGAGAGTGTTTTAGGCCGGTTTCTGCCGGTTTGTCATTAGGGTTACGAATTTGGATAAGGTTCAAGATAGTTTGAGAGTGTTTTAGGCCGGTTTCTGCCGGTTTGTCATTAGGGTTACGAATTTGGATAAGGTTCAAGATAGTTTGAGAGTGTTTTAGGCCGGTTTCTGCCGGTTTGTCATTAGGGTTACGAATTTGGATAAGGTTCAAGATAGTTTGAGAGTGTTTTAGGCCGGTTTCTGCCGGTTTGTCATTAGGGTTACGAATTTGGATAAGGTTCAAGATAGTTTGAGAGTGTTTTAGGCCGGTTTCTGCCGGTTTGTCATTAGGGTTACGAATTTGGATAAGGTTCAAGATAGTTTGAGAGTGTTTTAGGCCGGTTTCTGCCGGTTTGTCATTAGGGTTACGAATTTGGATAAGGTTCAAGATAGTTTGAGAGTGTTTTAGGCCGGTTTCTGCCGGTTTGTCATTAGGGTTACGAATTTGGATAAGGTTCAAGATAGTTTGAGAGTGTTTTAGGCCGGTTTCTGCCGGTTTGTCATTAGGGTTACGAATTTGGATAAGGTTCAAGATAGTTTGAGAGTGTTTTAGGCCGGTTTCTGCCGGTTTGTCATTAGGGTTACGAATTTGGATAAGGTTCAAGATAGTTTGAGAGTGTTTTAGGCCGGTTTCTGCCGGTTTGTCATTAGGGTTACGAATTTGGATAAGGTTCAAGATAGTTTGAGAGTGTTTTAGGCCGGTTTCTGCCGGTTTGTCATTAGGGTTACGAATTTGGATAAGGTTCAAGATAGTTTGAGAGTGTTTTAGGCCGGTTTCTGCCGGTTTGTCATTAGGGTTACGAATTTGGATAAGGTTCAAGATAGTTTGAGAGTGTTTTAGGCCGGTTTCTGCCGGTTTGTCATTAGGGTTACGAATTTGGATAAGGTTCAAGATAGTTTGAGAGTGTTTTAGGCCGGTTTCTGCCGGTTTGTCATTAGGGTTACGAATTTGGATAAGGTTCAAGATAGTTTGAGAGTGTTTTAGGCCGGTTTCTGCCGGTTTGTCATTAGGGTTACGAATTTGGATAAGGTTCAAGATAGTTTGAGAGTGTTTTAGGCCGGTTTCTGCCGGTTTGTCATTAGGGTTACGAATTTGGATAAGGTTCAAGATAGTTTGAGAGTGTTTTAGGCCGGTTTCTGCCGGTTTGTCATTAGGGTTACGAATTTGGATAAGGTTCAAGATAGTTTGAGAGTGTTTTAGGCCGGTTTCTGCCGGTTTGTCATTAGGGTTACGAATTTGGATAAGGTTCAAGATAGTTTGAGAGTGTTTTAGGCCGGTTTCTGCCGGTTTGTCATTAGGGTTACGAATTTGGATAAGGTTCAAGATAGTTTGAGAGTGTTTTAGGCCGGTTTCTGCCGGTTTGTCATTAGGGTTACGAATTTGGATAAGGTTCAAGATAGTTTGAGAGTGTTTTAGGCCGGTTTCTGCCGGTTTGTCATTAGGGTTACGAATTTGGATAAGGTTCAAGATAGTTTGAGAGTGTTTTAGGCCGGTTTCTGCCGGTTTGTCATTAGGGTTACGAATTTGGATAAGGTTCAAGATAGTTTGAGAGTGTTTTAGGCCGGTTTCTGCCGGTTTGTCATTAGGGTTACGAATTTGGATAAGGTTCAAGATAGTTTGAGAGTGTTTTAGGCCGGTTTCTGCCGGTTTGTCATTAGGGTTACGAATTTGGATAAGGTTCAAGATAGTTTGAGAGTGTTTTAGGCCGGTTTCTGCCGGTTTGTCATTAGGGTTACGAATTTGGATAAGGTTCAAGATAGTTTGAGAGTGTTTTAGGCCGGTTTCTGCCGGTTTGTCATTAGGGTTACGAATTTGGATAAGGTTCAAGATAGTTTGAGAGTGTTTTAGGCCGGTTTCTGCCGGTTTGTCATTAGGGTTACGAATTTGGATAAGGTTCAAGATAGTTTGAGAGTGTTTTAGGCCGGTTTCTGCCGGTTTGTCATTAGGGTTACGAATTTGGATAAGGTTCAAGATAGTTTGAGAGTGTTTTAGGCCGGTTTCTGCCGGTTTGTCATTAGGGTTACGAATTTGGATAAGGTTCAAGATAGTTTGAGAGTGTTTTAGGCCGGTTTCTGCCGGTTTGTCATTAGGGTTACGAATTTGGATAAGGTTCAAGATAGTTTGAGAGTGTTTTAGGCCGGTTTCTGCCGGTTTGTCATTAGGGTTACGAATTTGGATAAGGTTCAAGATAGTTTGAGAGTGTTTTAGGCCGGTTTCTGCCGGTTTGTCATTAGGGTTACGAATTTGGATAAGGTTCAAGATAGTTTGAGAGTGTTTTAGGCCGGTTTCTGCCGGTTTGTCATTAGGGTTACGAATTTGGATAAGGTTCAAGATAGTTTGAGAGTGTTTTAGGCCGGTTTCTGCCGGTTTGTCATTAGGGTTACGAATTTGGATAAGGTTCAAGATAGTTTGAGAGTGTTTTAGGCCGGTTTCTGCCGGTTTGTCATTAGGGTTACGAATTTGGATAAGGTTCAAGATAGTTTGAGAGTGTTTTAGGCCGGTTTCTGCCGGTTTGTCATTAGGGTTACGAATTTGGATAAGGTTCAAGATAGTTTGAGAGTGTTTTAGGCCGGTTTCTGCCGGTTTGTCATTAGGGTTACGAATTTGGATAAGGTTCAAGATAGTTTGAGAGTGTTTTAGGCCGGTTTCTGCCGGTTTGTCATTAGGGTTACGAATTTGGATAAGGTTCAAGATAGTTTGAGAGTGTTTTAGGCCGGTTTCTGCCGGTTTGTCATTAGGGTTACGAATTTGGATAAGGTTCAAGATAGTTTGAGAGTGTTTTAGGCCGGTTTCTGCCGGTTTGTCATTAGGGTTACGAATTTGGATAAGGTTCAAGATAGTTTGAGAGTGTTTTAGGCCGGTTTCTGCCGGTTTGTCATTAGGGTTACGAATTTGGATAAGGTTCAAGATAGTTTGAGAGTGTTTTAGGCCGGTTTCTGCCGGTTTGTCATTAGGGTTACGAATTTGGATAAGGTTCAAGATAGTTTGAGAGTGTTTTAGGCCGGTTTCTGCCGGTTTGTCATTAGGGTTACGAATTTGGATAAGGTTCAAGATAGTTTGAGAGTGTTTTAGGCCGGTTTCTGCCGGTTTGTCATTAGGGTTACGAATTTGGATAAGGTTCAAGATAGTTTGAGAGTGTTTTAGGCCGGTTTCTGCCGGTTTGTCATTAGGGTTACGAATTTGGATAAGGTTCAAGATAGTTTGAGAGTGTTTTAGGCCGGTTTCTGCCGGTTTGTCATTAGGGTTACGAATTTGGATAAGGTTCAAGATAGTTTGAGAGTGTTTTAGGCCGGTTTCTGCCGGTTTGTCATTAGGGTTACGAATTTGGATAAGGTTCAAGATAGTTTGAGAGTGTTTTAGGCCGGTTTCTGCCGGTTTGTCATTAGGGTTACGAATTTGGATAAGGTTCAAGATAGTTTGAGAGTGTTTTAGGCCGGTTTCTGCCGGTTTGTCATTAGGGTTACGAATTTGGATAAGGTTCAAGATAGTTTGAGAGTGTTTTAGGCCGGTTTCTGCCGGTTTGTCATTAGGGTTACGAATTTGGATAAGGTTCAAGATAGTTTGAGAGTGTTTTAGGCCGGTTTCTGCCGGTTTGTCATTAGGGTTACGAATTTGGATAAGGTTCAAGATAGTTTGAGAGTGTTTTAGGCCGGTTTCTGCCGGTTTGTCATTAGGGTTACGAATTTGGATAAGGTTCAAGATAGTTTGAGAGTGTTTTAGGCCGGTTTCTGCCGGTTTGTCATTAGGGTTACGAATTTGGATAAGGTTCAAGATAGTTTGAGAGTGTTTTAGGCCGGTTTCTGCCGGTTTGTCATTAGGGTTACGAATTTGGATAAGGTTCAAGATAGTTTGAGAGTGTTTTAGGCCGGTTTCTGCCGGTTTGTCATTAGGGTTACGAATTTGGATAAGGTTCAAGATAGTTTGAGAGTGTTTTAGGCCGGTTTCTGCCGGTTTGTCATTAGGGTTACGAATTTGGATAAGGTTCAAGATAGTTTGAGAGTGTTTTAGGCCGGTTTCTGCCGGTTTGTCATTAGGGTTACGAATTTGGATAAGGTTCAAGATAGTTTGAGAGTGTTTTAGGCCGGTTTCTGCCGGTTTGTCATTAGGGTTACGAATTTGGATAAGGTTCAAGATAGTTTGAGAGTGTTTTAGGCCGGTTTCTGCCGGTTTGTCATTAGGGTTACGAATTTGGATAAGGTTCAAGATAGTTTGAGAGTGTTTTAGGCCGGTTTCTGCCGGTTTGTCATTAGGGTTACGAATTTGGATAAGGTTCAAGATAGTTTGAGAGTGTTTTAGGCCGGTTTCTGCCGGTTTGTCATTAGGGTTACGAATTTGGATAAGGTTCAAGATAGTTTGAGAGTGTTTTAGGCCGGTTTCTGCCGGTTTGTCATTAGGGTTACGAATTTGGATAAGGTTCAAGATAGTTTGAGAGTGTTTTAGGCCGGTTTCTGCCGGTTTGTCATTAGGGTTACGAATTTGGATAAGGTTCAAGATAGTTTGAGAGTGTTTTAGGCCGGTTTCTGCCGGTTTGTCATTAGGGTTACGAATTTGGATAAGGTTCAAGATAGTTTGAGAGTGTTTTAGGCCGGTTTCTGCCGGTTTGTCATTAGGGTTACGAATTTGGATAAGGTTCAAGATAGTTTGAGAGTGTTTTAGGCCGGTTTCTGCCGGTTTGTCATTAGGGTTACGAATTTGGATAAGGTTCAAGATAGTTTGAGAGTGTTTTAGGCCGGTTTCTGCCGGTTTGTCATTAGGGTTACGAATTTGGATAAGGTTCAAGATAGTTTGAGAGTGTTTTAGGCCGGTTTCTGCCGGTTTGTCATTAGGGTTACGAATTTGGATAAGGTTCAAGATAGTTTGAGAGTGTTTTAGGCCGGTTTCTGCCGGTTTGTCATTAGGGTTACGAATTTGGATAAGGTTCAAGATAGTTTGAGAGTGTTTTAGGCCGGTTTCTGCCGGTTTGTCATTAGGGTTACGAATTTGGATAAGGTTCAAGATAGTTTGAGAGTGTTTTAGGCCGGTTTCTGCCGGTTTGTCATTAGGGTTACGAATTTGGATAAGGTTCAAGATAGTTTGAGAGTGTTTTAGGCCGGTTTCTGCCGGTTTGTCATTAGGGTTACGAATTTGGATAAGGTTCAAGATAGTTTGAGAGTGTTTTAGGCCGGTTTCTGCCGGTTTGTCATTAGGGTTACGAATTTGGATAAGGTTCAAGATAGTTTGAGAGTGTTTTAGGCCGGTTTCTGCCGGTTTGTCATTAGGGTTACGAATTTGGATAAGGTTCAAGATAGTTTGAGAGTGTTTTAGGCCGGTTTCTGCCGGTTTGTCATTAGGGTTACGAATTTGGATAAGGTTCAAGATAGTTTGAGAGTGTTTTAGGCCGGTTTCTGCCGGTTTGTCATTAGGGTTACGAATTTGGATAAGGTTCAAGATAGTTTGAGAGTGTTTTAGGCCGGTTTCTGCCGGTTTGTCATTAGGGTTACGAATTTGGATAAGGTTCAAGATAGTTTGAGAGTGTTTTAGGCCGGTTTCTGCCGGTTTGTCATTAGGGTTACGAATTTGGATAAGGTTCAAGATAGTTTGAGAGTGTTTTAGGCCGGTTTCTGCCGGTTTGTCATTAGGGTTACGAATTTGGATAAGGTTCAAGATAGTTTGAGAGTGTTTTAGGCCGGTTTCTGCCGGTTTGTCATTAGGGTTACGAATTTGGATAAGGTTCAAGATAGTTTGAGAGTGTTTTAGGCCGGTTTCTGCCGGTTTGTCATTAGGGTTACGAATTTGGATAAGGTTCAAGATAGTTTGAGAGTGTTTTAGGCCGGTTTCTGCCGGTTTGTCATTAGGGTTACGAATTTGGATAAGGTTCAAGATAGTTTGAGAGTGTTTTAGGCCGGTTTCTGCCGGTTTGTCATTAGGGTTACGAATTTGGATAAGGTTCAAGATAGTTTGAGAGTGTTTTAGGCCGGTTTCTGCCGGTTTGTCATTAGGGTTACGAATTTGGATAAGGTTCAAGATAGTTTGAGAGTGTTTTAGGCCGGTTTCTGCCGGTTTGTCATTAGGGTTACGAATTTGGATAAGGTTCAAGATAGTTTGAGAGTGTTTTAGGCCGGTTTCTGCCGGTTTGTCATTAGGGTTACGAATTTGGATAAGGTTCAAGATAGTTTGAGAGTGTTTTAGGCCGGTTTCTGCCGGTTTGTCATTAGGGTTACGAATTTGGATAAGGTTCAAGATAGTTTGAGAGTGTTTTAGGCCGGTTTCTGCCGGTTTGTCATTAGGGTTACGAATTTGGATAAGGTTCAAGATAGTTTGAGAGTGTTTTAGGCCGGTTTCTGCCGGTTTGTCATTAGGGTTACGAATTTGGATAAGGTTCAAGATAGTTTGAGAGTGTTTTAGGCCGGTTTCTGCCGGTTTGTCATTAGGGTTACGAATTTGGATAAGGTTCAAGATAGTTTGAGAGTGTTTTAGGCCGGTTAGGGTT